TATCCCAAAGCCCAATGCCTTAAATATTTTTACTAAATTTGACTAGGTCAACCCGAAAGAGTAATGTAGAACTGTTAGAAAAGCGACAAGCACCCACAAGCCCTTAAAAAATCGATAGACTTGTTGGGACGTTCTAAATCGAGACCTAAACGAGCTTTCCGTGACTGAGTGCCCGAACATGTGACTTTCCCCGAGACCCGGCAATTACCCGCGACCCTCCAGAAACCACCCAATGCCCTTTTTCCCCACCCATTCCCACCCTGCACCTAAAACTTTAATCAGCACCAGAATAAAATATCCACGCAAATCCATTCGATTTTCCTCCACCCGCGGACTGTCCATAAGTCAACACGACGTTGACGTAACAGATGGTGGCCTGAATCCGGTGAAAATCCAACGTCATCCGATCGCCCCCAAAAATATCTCATCTCCCACTAATTGCACCCCAAATGACTCCCCACTAACGACTTAAAAATCTAAATGAGTTCTAAATTAATTTTTCAAAATGAATAAAATACCCCAACGGCACGTATGAATTTCGCATCTCTTTTTGATTTATGATTATGATTTATATAAACTTACGTTCTCAATTCTTCATGAAAAAATGATCCAGCGAATTTTGAGTCTCCAGGATGTTGCTGATATACTGAAATGAATTTCACGAGACACAGACAGATTTGATAGTCACAACAGTTTGATGTGAGCCACACCAAGAGCTGAGCTTTTATAGGATTATTTTATAATCGATAGTGGTGCGCATGGGCCTTTACAGGTGCAGCAACAAGTACAGGAATAGGTGACGAGGGATCGCAATGAGGTGAAAGGTGGAGGGTGTGATTAAAGTTGAGGGAGTGACACTCCCGGGATGCTTCAACAGGATCAATCAATGAGCTCAGCACAATGCCATGGATTCACCATTGCTAATTATTTCTGCACAGAATATATATTCACTTGGGAGAACTAGGGCATCATGGGGTAGTACGCCATAAAACAGATCATCAAAATTGTTCAATCCTTAATTCTCAAGACTTCCATTGTCTAAATAAAGAGAAAGAGAAATTAAATCACCGGGGATCAGTGGAATTATTAAAAATTATTCAACTTATAATTTTCAACATTTTTTTGTATTTAAACAAACAGATTGATAAACTCAGTGTTTCGAGATTTGTCGATTGGGATTAAATAGTAATTATTCTACAAATTTTCTCAAATTTTCTTTTAAGAATATTTTTTTATCTTATTGTTTTACTTAATTTATGTAAAAAACTATTTAAAAATTGACAGGTTTTGATTATTGTTTATTATTAAGTTAATATAATTAAGTTAATATTTATTAAGTTAATTGATGTGAATTTCGAAAGGGTTTGAATTTTAAGTAGACGTATTTCTCTCGGTAAAGCGAAAATAATTTAATGGACTACTTTCTGATTTTTATCTATTTATTACTTTTTCCCTACCTGTAAATGAACTTCTACTTCCTACATTTCAATATTTTTCTTATCGATACGCGGCTACAAATTGATGAGAGGATAAGATAGTTGTTATCATGGAGACCAGATAACTCATTCCGACCGGAGATTGATAATGGGAAATAGTCGTGGTTTGCGTTTCCCTTTGAAATGTCAGAGCGTCATATTCTTCAGGATGAGACTCCAGCAGCTTCGGTATACGAAGGTAAAAATCGTGATGTAATAATGACGAACGAAGAGTCATTTAAAGATGAAGAATTAAAATCTCGATTTTTTTTTATAGTTATTGAACTTCCACCTCCGGTCTTCACTGGATCCCAGATGACGAGGACTCAACCTGAAAATTCAAGTAAAGATAATCAAAAATAATCAAAATAATAATTTTAAAAAAATACAATTTCAGTCCAATTGTTCAAAACAATTAAAATCATTAAAAATTAAGCGAATTCGTACTTTAATATTCAATTAATTATCTTTTAAAATCATTTTCTTGAGAGTTGATTAATCTTAATTAGCTTAAGTAAACTGCAATAACAAAAATTGTTCCAGCCCTTGGATTTTTAATAGAATTTATAACAATAGAATATTTAGGATGAAAATTGCTTGTTTTTCCAGTGATTATTTTATTATGACTTTTAGCAAGGACAGAAATTTTCAGAATAATTTTGCAATAGTGAATGGAAAAAAAAATGAAGAGATGAAACTTCCGGTTTTGCAGATAGAAATGGAATGAGAAATCAGAGGCGACCTATACCAATCAGCACTCAGGACTGGATATCAACTACGAGGTCACAGTTCAGTCCCATTTCCGCTGAATATTTCCTGACAAACGTCGAACAGGTGGAAATACAGCCGATAGTGGACATCAACACACGTGTGTAATCAATATTGTTGTGCAACTTTATGAATAATCAATACGAGTGCATGTATCAAAATTTTTCCTATAAAATTTCTCACCATTACTCGCGAGGGTTTTCTGGTGAATTTTCCATCGGTGATTTATCACGTGACGTTTGTCTCCATGGTTTTAATTGTACTCTATTTTTATTTAAAATCTGTTCTAGTCCTGGGGCATTCGGGAAAAAAATTCCGGGTGAAAATGCGAGGTGCAGAGACTCTCTTTTTGGCCACTGAGAATTCCTCGAAGTACCAGAGGAACGTCTTGGGAACTTCCAGGAGTTTTGTGATGGATGTGAGAGATCCGTCTGGGGAACCTGCATTTATCCTAACGAAAGGGCTCACTTGGGGGTGTGTTCCCGGATTTCTGCATGTAACCATTAATCCACGTAATTTTCCTCGAGAAACTGGAGTCGCTTCACTGTAGCCTTTTCGTCATAAGTTTTATATGAACAAAAAATTTTGACAACCCTAGGGGCATAATAATAGGGGCTTCAGAATTTTTGGAATTTCGAAAAATTTTATAAATAGCGTTGAAATATTGTTCATTCTGTTCGAACGTGGTGAAACCAGGAGAGAGTCATTTGAAGATGATAGACTATTTTAATAAAATTTCAAAGATGCGAGGCGGTCGTCAATGTGTTCGCCGCCATCTTGTTCAGCACCTCATGGAGGGGCTCGATAATGGCGGTGCCTCACCTCGCGTTTTTAAACAGTTATTACAAGTGTTTATCCTCCTCAAATGACATAAAAATAATTTCGTCATGTTTCTACGAAGTGAACTTTTTTTTTGAGGCGCTCGGTAGATATCCCCATTCGGTTTTAACCACACAGAGAGAAAAGTTTGACAACATTAATTATTTTTTTTAATAAAAATTCGAGTAAAAATTTCTGAATTGTCTCTATGGTTAAGGGCTTAACTAGACAATAAATTTTATCGAATATTTCTCTTCGTAGGAGAATTCGTGAAGGGTTTTTTTAGTTTTTATTAGTTTTCTTGTACTTTCGGTTTCCCTCAGAGTATGACTGTGGAAACGACTGAATACATTGGATGCATCCAGCAGAATTTCACTCTCTTTGGTCCACGCTTCACAGTTTATGATGCCTCGAGTGAAGCCATGTGCATCATAGATGGTCCCAACATGTGCTGCTGTTGCATGAGCAATGAAGTTTATTTCCAAGTGAATAGATTTATTTCTGATTTTATTTATAGATTCCATTCTATACTTTATTATTTCCTTTTTCGCCTCACAGAAATTATTTATTTCTTTGTTATATAAAAAAAATTCAATTATCAATTATACGTGTAATTATAATTACTAGAAAATATATTTGACAATCGAAAATTTTTAATGAGGATAAATGAATGTGTGGTTTTATTATAAAAATGGAAAATATCAAATTTGGAGGATTAGTGGAGGAGAGAAAATCTGGGATTTAATGAGGATTTTTTTACAGGTTTTGTCCACAGACATGAGCCGACAAATTGCTTCAATAAGTCATCAATATGATCACCTGCTCGTCGATCACATTCTGCTCCTGACGTTTCCTAATGATGCTAATGTGAGACTCAAGAGTCTCCTGATGGCTGCCACTTTTTTCATGGTGAGTTCCTAGTTTTTCATGATAAATTTATGGAATATATGAGATTCATAAAATTTTAATCCATTATTCCCCAGGGCGCACTCTATTTCGACCGTTTGTCCAATTCTCCTGCATCTAGACCTGTTAATTAACCACGGATCCACTGATATTAACTGGATTTTGCTGCAACAATTTATTACGAAAGTATTGAGGAAAACCCTCTGAAAAAAAAACGCTTAAAATATTTCTCATTCATTAATGAAAACGTAATTAATTAGTGAACAGATATTGAGAATGACTTTGTATAGAATTTAATAAACCAATAATTTTTGATTAATCGATACTTGGACAGATGTCTTGGAGGAAAAATTACTACTTTGAAATTATGTTTTTTTCTTTAAATATTCAATTTACACGCAGTGAATGTGGAGCGAGTTGACACGAGCACTCGAGGATGTCCTTCAATTGATTGTAAAACGAATCATCCATTAGAAGTTTGCAATTCAACATTGCGATTACTCCAAGAAAGTTCTTCCTCTAGAGTGAACTTGGATGACGCAGTTGCAAGCACTCGGGACAAATCAAAACATTTGTCGAGATTCCAGTTCGATTAATCCTCGATTTTTAGAAAATTGGCTTCATGAGCTGGTTTGAGTTAATTTTCAAAATTATCAGGTGATTTTTTTCCTGTCATTGAATTAAAGATAACAAATCGTAACCCCCCTCCAATGGTCAATATAAGTGCTAGTGTCAATAAAAAATTTCAGTGAAAATGAACAATGAATTTTCGAGAAAGTATTTTATCCACTGACTTTGCAATCGACGAGTCGAGATTTTCGATTAATCGATAGACTGCCTGCCCCCACTCCTTGACCCCCAATCAAAACAAAAAGAAGAAAAAAAAGTGGTGTCACTCCCGTGTTGTCAACCGTCTCTGAGGCGTATTTTTGCTGTAAGTACACGATTGTTATCACAAGAATGAAGTATTATCATTCCCCCAATTACACAAATACAACACCAACGGTTCCACCCATGATTATTCGTTATAGTAATTCATAAAGAACACTTAACCCATAATTATCCCATTTTTCCAGACAGATTTTCTGCAAAATGACTTTCTTCGAGATTGTCGGTGTCATTACAATAATTTATTACCTTTTTTATCTAATTTATCCCTGGTTTCTCGACTGCGATTTGCATCTGTCACTGCTGGAGACATTTGGACAGCCAATTGGTAATTATTCCTTTGAAATTACTAATTTTCCATTCCTTCAAAAAATTATTCTAACCAATTTAATCTAATAATTTCAATAATTGAATAACTTTATCAAATAATAACAAATGATTTGCAGAATTGAATTAATCAGTTGCCAGGGCGAACCGCTCATTTTGGAGTAATTAATTCATATGTTTATTTATCTTTTAGCTATTTTCAATGTTTTTTGATTATTTTTTTATTAGAAACACTCAGAGGTAAAGTTGTGTGGATCACAGGGGCTTCGAGTGGTATCGGGGAACATTTGGCGTATGTCCTGGCTAAAGCTCATTGCAAACTGATTTTATCAGCCAGGAGAGCCCCTGAACTTTCCCAAGTTAAGAAGAAATGTCTGGAAGGTATAACTGACATTTATTCCAGTTAATGATCGATGAAAAAATTTTAATATCGAATACTTATCGAATTAGAGCGAAAAACAAATGGAATTTTAATGGAAATTCTTTGGATTTTCACTGAACTCTCGATACAGTATTTAGAGTTTTTACAGAACTCCAAAAGAGGCCATAGTAGTTCGTAAATTTCGCTTCACACCTCTGATTTCTCTAATCCTCAGTCAATCCACATCTTCAGGATAGCGATGTGGAAGTCATGGTGATGGATATCTGTGATCTTAGCAGCCACCAGAAGTGTTTCGATCACGTAATTACGAAATTTGGAAGGGTATCTATTTTTTTTCTCAGTGTGAAATTTTTCTAATTTATAAAATATTATTTATGGAGATAAACCTCAACGTAAATTCTGCTTCTGCACAGTTGGACGTTTTGGTGAACAACGCAGGTAGATCCCAACGAGCTGCCTGGGAGAAAATTGATATACGAGTTGACAAAGAATTGTTTGATCTCAATGTTTTTTCTTTGGTGGCACTGAGTCGCATTGTTTATTCTTACTTCGAGGAAGTTGGCCATGGCCACCTCGTCGTTACCTCCAGTTTGGCTGGAGTTTTGGGAGTTCCGTTCTCTGGATCGTACACCGGTTCAAAGCACGCCTTACACGTTCGTTAATTATTCATTTAAATTTATAATTCTACCACTAACTCCAGAGAATTCTCTAGTCCATTCGAATTTTTCAATTTCCTTTTTCGTAAATAAATAAGTAAATCCAATTCTCGTCACAAGAATTTATAAACTGATGAATGAGTACAAGTCATTACTGAATATTTACAATCAAATTAGAAATTGAAATGAGTTACGCAATTTCTATTTTATGTTCGTTAACGTTGATTGCATTACTTGAATATTCCTGTCTAAATATTAATTTTTAACACAGCCTCTGTGAAAAATTACGCATTTCAGGGATATTTCCAGTCTCTTCGAGTGGAGAAAATGAACAAAAACATTCCAATCTCGATTGTATGCCCCGGTGCCGTCCAGACTCCATTTTTATCGGAGAGCTTCACCGACACAATTGGGAAGGTATTTTTTTTAATCAAACAATTGGAATTACCGAGAAGATAAAGTCGAGTAAACAGACCGTGTTATCTATTTTTATTCCAGAAATTTGGCGAAGTGACTGCCAACGCAAAAAATAAGTTGAGTTCCGAGCGTTGTGCTCATCTGATAGCAGTGGCAATGGTAAATCACGTTGACGAATGTTGGATTGCACACTCGACATCTCTTCAGCTGACATATCTCGCGAGATATTATCCAAATATTGCTCGAGTGTGCGTACCAAATTTTTCCTCTGTCTTGCCAGAATATCTGGTGTTATGGCATTTATTTTTTTTTCTTTTTGATTTTACTGTGAGAATTGCAAACTTTTCTGAACAAGCGCTACGTTTTTCCATTAATTCTTTTCCGAAATTTTTTATGGACAACTATTTATTTCTTGAGAAATCATTAAAAAATATCTTTCTTCCTCAGGATTTTCCAGCTCCTCGGCCAGAGATTTTTCCAATATGTGCGTGACAACAAAGTCACGGTTGCTTCGGAATAGACAGCATTTCCCCGCCATATAATAAAATCAAGATTATTCAATAAAAAAGTTAATTAATACAATTTCCCTTCAAAAAATCGTTTTATAAACCGAAGCTTTGTATATAGGAATAAATTAAAATTTAGTAAAGTTTTTGAGAAAAGATTAAATGAAAATTTCGCTTACTGAATATCTCCTTCAAAACTCACTTTATAATGCAGCAAATATACACAAAAAATAATCTAAAGCTACTCCCTGAAGTTCTCCAGCTTTTCCCTTGCTCCCTTGCCCCTGAGGATGGCCTCTTTGAACAATCTGCAGTACAAAGCGAGAGCAACGGGGCTGTCGTCATTCCCAGGGACTGGATAAGTAATTAAATTGGGATTGCAATTAGTGTCAACGATTCCAACACTGGGGATGCACATTTTGGCGGCGTCTCGTACAGCCAAACTCTCGAAGAGGACATCGTTCTGGGTATTGATAAAGATACAGAGGTCCGGGAGTCTCGTCACTGCTTGAAAGAGTCTCGTGGAATTCGTGAAGGTCCCGTTCTTCCAGTACCTCGTGAAAGCGAATTCATTGCACTCCTTTGCGGTTTTTTCCACCAAATGAGTCACCTACCCCACAAAATCCGTGATTTCAATAAAATTGCAACCTTTATACGATTTTTAAACTACTTTACAGCTGTAATTATCAACAAACTTGTTGACATGTTTCAATAATAATAATTGAACTCTAAAGAAATTTATTTCAATCAGAAATGGAATCATAGAGTCATCTTTTTTTGTGAGTCACCTGGGGCTTGCGGCAGATGAACATGATCAGGCCACCCTGGAAGGCGATGTGAGCTGTGAAGTTCAGGGCATCTCGGAGGTGCTCAGCTGTCTTGTCAAGATCGAAAATCAGGTGTCCCAATCGAGATCCGTAGATGTACGGTTTCATTCGATCGTCAAGCGATCCAATTTTGTGGCCAAAGTGCACTCGAGCATCAAAGAGATCTTTTATCGTGAAGAATTCATGAACACTGAAGAAATCCGGGTGCTTCAAGGGGTCTATCATCCCTGAGGGCTCTGAGAATCATTGGGCAATAAAAATTGACTCAAGTCACATATTTTTAAAAGTGGTATTTCAATTTTTGAAGGAATTATTCTGAGATCAGTTGCACTGGAACTCTCAATGTCGGTGAGCACATTATTTCTCATGAATAATTTATCATTCATTTGTTTAATTAAAAAAGTACCTTCATTTTTTTGTATTTTGGGTTCGACCTGTGTTGACAGAGATGCGGTCTGAGTAAAATTGAGACCAAGTGAGCGTTTGGCATGGCCTAAAACTGTCAGAAAACAGTAACAGATAAAAATTCTTACATAATTAATACATTAAAGTGTTTAAAGAATTAATTCTTATTTACATTTTGTGGAAAATACACGAGCCACCGATCCGGCCATGTTGAGGTTAATTGACACAAAATCCCCGTACCCCACCACCGGACATTGACGGGATGTCATTGGCTGGTACCAGGCATAATGAGACCAATAAAAATTGGGGAAACACCCGCGAAACTTAAGATATGAAATGTTCGTGGCATCTTTTTTGAGTTCTGCTCTGCCTTCTCCTAAAAAATTGAGATCTATTGATTTTTTTTCTTAGATATATTTCTCTTTCCTACTAATATTATGGTTTTATAGGCGCCTCTCGTCTTGTAGCCTTTAGCCTCTCCTTACTATCCTTTCTTCTTTTCTGGTGAGCTATTCATATAATTATATTAATATTAATAGTGAATTCACTGGAAAGTCAATAAAATTCGCTGGAATAATTTTCAAAAGAATCTTCTCAAATTTCTTTCAACAAATTCTATTAAATTTCCAATTAAAAGATGTAATTAGGTAAATCATTGATTTTATCAACCGTTTATTTTCATAATTTGAATCGTACACTTTTAAATGAAATTTTTTCAAAAGTCGTATCAACGTACTGATAAAAAAGTCATGGAGTTGCAAAGGAAAACAGTTTTTCATATATCAAGCAAAAAAAAATCCAATAAACTCCAGAGAATGGTCAGACCACCAGTGATCGATCATCCAAAAATACTCGTGTTATAAAAAATAAATACAAGATTAGTCAATACTTGGTGCAAATCTACTAAATAATTACTGAATACTTCTAAACTTTGAAGTTTTTCTACATGTTTGTACTTCAAGTTCCAAAGGCACATTATCACAATCGTTCAATCATCACCATTGCGACCCCTATAATGCGGATTATCCCGATTCCTTTCGTCCTTACGTTTCAAATTATAGTTGAAAGAAAAAAAAAACAAAAACAAACTGCTTTTCCATCCCAAAACATTAATTAACCTAATTATAGAATATTTTCATTTTTTTGGAATAACCTTCCAATGTTTTTTCATTTCAAGTTCAATGAAATGGATTTCAATTTTAATGAATAATAATGATTTTAGTTAGAAAAATCAAATTTTTAATTCTTCAGAAGTGAAAAAATGAGTCAACCGAAAAAAATTCTGAGACCTCAGAAATAATGATAAGTTTTATGTCTTCGACGTGACGTCAAGATGATTACAGAATTTCCACATCATTTTCAGAAAAGACGTCGATTTTCCAATCAGCGGCGAAGAGGTAAGTGAAATAGTTATGATTTATCGATTTAACTCGGAAACAAACCAGTTGAAGGTTTTACAGTTGATTAAATTTTCGACAAAGAAGATCTATTGACATTTTTCTCTAAAATCAGAATTTAAATAGACACATATTCACTACTATATTTTTTTGTGAGAAATCCTGTGTTATCTATTCACAAAAAAAAAAAGAAAATAAAAGGAAAAAAAGGTAACAAAATGGCAAAAGGAAAAAAATTTCCAATTCTGCAAAATACACGTCAAGAGATTTTTTTTGTGGAAAATAGAATAATTCGCAAAAAAATCCTCTACCATTTTCCCTGATGAATCAGAAGTTACCGACATTAATCGTTAATTAAAACGATTAACCGATTTAGTCACATTACTCTTGCATAAACTTTTCCCTCTGCACCTTCAAATACTCATAACAATCTCCCAAATTCTTCACAGATAATAGAGACATTCAGACAGGTAATCACTGGGTCGTGCCTGGACATTCTGACCAATGAGATAAGCGAGTTTATGTGCATACTGACAGGGTGCAGGTACTCTAATAGTTCCAGGCCAGTTATAGTAAAGATGACACAACTTATAAGACAATCTCTGAATATGATCAGTCTTAAAACTGGCCTCATCGAGCAGAACAACATAGTGGGTTGGTGTGACAGTGCCCTGCATGGCAGTTTGAGGCACAAGAAAGAAATCATACCAGCATTTTCTGGTAACAACAGAATCTACAATGGTTCCAGGTACAGGATTCTGTAGAGTTCTGCCCCTAAGAGTCATCACCCTGGTATTAATCCTTTTCTGGACCACAATAACCGTGAGTTTTGGTGAGTAACTCTCATCAATTTGCTTAAAAGCATCCTTGAGCTGTCCAATCTCATACTCAGCAACAAATCCCAGCTGTCCATCTCCAACGCCATCCCTGTAAACAACAATCCTATCAGGAAAAGTACCTCGCTTCCTCTTGTAAGCATTGAGTGAACCCATGGCGCAAGTCTTGAGAACATCGATGATCTCCTGCTTAGGTCCCTGCATGCCAATACTCGAGTGCCACGATGTCATGGTCTTGTCAAGACTAGCCACAAATCCAGTGACACTTCCAGTCTTGGGCTGTCCAGCTGGTGCATGATAAACATCAATTCCCACGACCATGACATTCTCAAAGGGCATGACAAGAGCCCATGGTGCTCCTCCCATCTTGCAATTCATTTGAATTGCTATTTTCTCAGCAACAGCTTTGATCTTTCTCTCATCAGATATCGTCTTCGTGACGACAACTTGCGATCTTATCGGGCACTCGACGCAGCAAACTTTCTTTATTGCCGAGTACCTGTCAAGTCTCACAGTTGGCACAATAGCCACCACCATGTCCAGTTCAGGATTGATAGCCTTTCTGATCTCCTGTACATAGTTCTGAGTGCTATCATTTCTCAATGCCACTTTCTGTGGATTTCCAATTTCCATCTTCATGGTACCACCGACTCGCTTCAACATCTTCACAAACTCCTCAGCTATTCTCTGGTCTTTCTCAATGAAGCAGAGAAACCAATTCTTGAGGCCATCAGTTCTCAGAAGAGGATTGTTTGTAACGCCCCTACCCCAGTCAGCTTTCTCATTAACTTTGCAGGTCGTACCATTGCCAAAGTGAATGACCTCAGGAGGGAGAATTCTCCCCTTGAGCCTAGTTAGATCATCCTCGATCTCGAGTCCCCAGTATTTCAGCATTTCAACAGCAAGTGGTGTGTTCTTCACATCCTGAATAAATTTTCTGATTACCTGACGGCGTTGTTCAGGCACCACCTGAGTTATTGCTGCCAAATCCTTCATGATTCTGAAGTTGCTACGGATTTTATCAGTGAGGCCAGTGAGGTAACACAATTCAGGAATCAGCAGCACGTCCTCTTCCTGAGTTCCCCCCTGGGGCAGCTTCTTTTTGGCTTTGTGGTAAATCAGGGGCTGCTTCATATCCTGAATTTCCATATTCCAGTGAGTCTTGTAGTACCTTGCCAGTGATATCTCCTCGCCCTTGCAGTTGAATGTAAACTCTGGGCATTTGTCCCAGTGGATGTCATCGATTCTATAGGTCTGGTTATTGTACCTCGTTAGGACAGTCATCCCCAGGAGTTCAGCTGTAACAGCATCCCTGAAATTTCCCTTGTCACGTGTCTGTCTGAGAAGTCCCCCCATATAATCACGAACAGTGTCAGTTCTCATGACCCTGTGGGAGGCATCGATGTTCAATTTTAATCCACCCTCGACCTCCTCGATGGCTGTGATATATCCTGGCCAGAGCTCCATCTTATGCTGCTCGACTTTGTGCGCACAGCGTGGATTAAAATTGTTACGATTGATACGAACCATGCTGAGGCACTTCATCACTTTTCCAAGAAGGATATTGAAGAATTGAACGGATTCTGAGGGCTTCTGCTGCTTCTGGAAGGTCAGGGTTATGGTAACGGTAACGTTGTCGTGACGAAGTGATTGTAATGTCGTCACGTCGTCGGGCAATCGGTTGGAGATGTACAGCAGAATTCCATCGAAGGTCTTGCATTTTCCCAGGAACTCGAGGTGTTGATTTAGGAGAGCATTTCTCAGTCGTGGTGAGTCAGTCTCTGGCTCGAAACGAGTCTCATATCTGAATATACCTTTCTTCGGTTCTATTTTGAGCCCGAGGTAGTTGGCCATTATATCAACGCTTTCTCCACTGGTACCCATCCTGGAGATTGTTGCACTGTGATCACTACCAGAGCCTGCTGAGTGATCGCCAATCGCCAGACCTGCGAGACTTCCAGTGACTCCCAGGTTGTCACCAGATACTTTTGGGGGTTCTGCCCTTAGGAGCTCTGCCTTCGGTGGATTTGTTGAAGCGATTGATGGGGGTGTTTGGGGGGTTGTTAACTTGTTGATTAGGGAGGCACGACCTGCACCCACTCGTGGTGCTGGTAATGGGGCTGGAACATCTGTGGAAATTTAATAGAAAAAATAAGAGGAATGGAAGAATAAGGAAAAAAATTAAGATATCTCCGAAATTGAAGAAAAAAAAGATAGTGAATAAGTAGTATATTTCGTACTAGGTCACTGAGTGATAAAAATCCTATTATCTTTTTTTGGTTCAAAGATATTACTGGTGAACTCAAGACCTTGTATTCTTTGATGGAAAAATTCAATTGTGGAAAAAATCCCTTTTCTCCACTAAAAAACTCAGATTAGTTCCTGGAACCGAGGGTGGAAAATATTTTTTTTTAATATTCACATTTTCAACGTTTTCTCACCGGAAAGTATATCCCCATGAACTGCAAGTGGTACAGGAGTCTGTTTCAGAGTTGACTCCAAGAGATTAACCCTTCCACGAGGCTTGACGGGAGCCTGAGCCTCACCTGGAGCAAATGGATGGCCCGCAGTCATTACTGATTTAAGTGGTGACCTCGTGGGAAGCTGTGGAATCTGTGCAGCTGGAGGAATTGATCTGGTGGGAAGCTGTGGAATCTGTGCAACTGGAGGAATCGACCTGGTGGGAAGCTGTGAAATCTGTGCAACTGGAGGAATTGATCTGGTGGGAAGCTGTGGAATCTGTGCAACTGGAGGAATTGACCGGGTGGGAAGCTGTGGAATCTGTGCAGCTGGAGGAACTGATCTTATTGGTACCTGTGGAGGCTGATTTACTGCGGGATGAGTAACCTGAGGGATCGATCTCGTTGGAAGAGAGGGTCGAGGACATGAAATTGGTGGATGGGACACTGGGGGAATTGATCTCGTTGGAAGCGAGGGTCGGGGATAGGGATTTGGGGGATAAACTTCTGGAGAAGGTGTTGTCACCACTGGAGATGACACTGGAACTGCAGCCTCAACAGTTGGGGGAGACAGTGGCTCTGATGAATCCCCTGAACCTTGTGCCATCGCCTTCTTCCTCAGGGCCTCTATCAGGGCACCTCGACCTCCTCCACGACCGCCGCGTCCTCCACCTCGATCCATTTTTCCCGGATTTTTACTGAACTTTTATTGCTCAGTAATAACTACTGAAATAATATTATTTAATTATTTGTAGGAGGCACAAATTTTAACGATTATTTAATTATTTGATCCGATCTTCCATTTATTGTTAACAATTAAACTTTGGTTTAAGATTCGATATAATATAAGCTGGGTTGGTTGTGGTAAATTTAATGTTGCTTGCTCGAGAGTTCGTCTCCAAGTGTCCTCAGTCACCAAATCGTCCAGGGTGTCAAGTCTACCCATTAAACAAGGCCCTTTGTCTATGGGGTTGGTCCACGTGCTGGGCTGTTTCGTATAAACAGCCTAATTGTTTCCATTATTCCCTCTGATCAGTCACAACAGGTCTCTTGTTCGTTTTAACGTCGAAAATATTTCCAACATATTCTTAATTGACTCATGGAAATATAGACACATAGACACAGACTCTTGTCTTTTGGACAGACGTGTCACCTTGGACGAACTGGTGACCTGTGCCACTCTTTTACAAACTCTCGAGCGAGCAACATTGGACATTAACAACCTAGCTTACATTATATCGAGTCTTTAACTAAAGTTTAATTGTTAACAATAAATAAAAGATCGAGTCATCCAATTAAATTGCGTGCAATATAGCTTCATCCTACATGACTCCTCATTGCATTATTTTAATATTAATCAAACCCGATTTAGCTCGACGTAATCTCAATTCAAAAATTTATTCTCGAATTAATAAATTTGTAATTGAAATAAAATAATATCAATTTAAAATAAGAATCCCCATTTTCTCCGAGAAGTCAATCAATTTTAGTTATCTTCCCCCATTTTAAATTAAGATTGAGACAAAAATTTCCAAGAAATATTTGAGAAAACGATGCCTCGAGGAGCCATTGCTGCGTAATTCAACACCCCTGAATGCCAGAGAGTTATCGTCAGCAACGACTTCCACGAAATGCTGTTTACGATCGTCTCAGGCCACCAAGAACAAAGGAACTGTGTCCTTGAAGTTGCCTCTTTCTCTGCGAAGGGCGTGTAACAATAAAAAAAAACTGTAAAAATTCATCGGACCCTCACCTGAATCAATCACCTGATCAAAATCACGCGGTGGATAGTTTTTCTAGGAATTTCGTGATAAAATCCGCAGAAATCTTGAAATTTTGGCTCTGAGGAAATTTTGGAACGCACGTCTTCGGCGACGACAGGAAACGAACTAGACCGGCCGGCAGCGGCCGAAGAAATGCAACGCATTCACGAAGCAATGCGCGTGCCCGGAAATTTTCCCGCGCCAAAATCGAACGGTTCAAACAACCGATCCATTGACTCTGAGGTCGGAATTACACAATGGTTTTATGACAGCTTAATTATGAACAGTTAAATAAAAGATTCATCCCGGATCCATTGTTTATTTGTCACAGAAGTTATAAAATAATTCTCAATATTTTTTTAATGAATGTGTTTCATTCGTTGATTTCAGTTTCTTCCTCGTCTTCTGGTTTCTGCTTGTTATTCTCCTCGTCTTCATCTCGTGGACCTAATTTGTGCATCGCTAGATCCCCCAGCCAGAGCAGCATTCTGACAAAATCATAATTGAGGAAAAAACAGAAAGTTTCTTGTTCAAAAATACAAACAATCTGTAAAAAATCAAATTGTGTGTTCTATATTTCACAGGAATTAAATAGATGAGCGAATGGATAAATAAATTGAATAAAATAATTAATAATTGAGTATAATGCATGTTATCGATGAGAAAGTTCACTGGAAGAAAATTGCCGTGTTCAAATAAAATAAACACAAGCTATGCGAATTTATTTGATTCTTTTATCCATGGAAGCATTTGTGAAAGGATACGATTGCTCTTTCATCTCTGTTTCTTCAATATGCGGAAGGATGAACTCCTTGTGGAATTTCTGGACGGCTTCCTCGCAGTCACTCCACTCCAGCTGCTCGTGAATTCCATCAGCCCCGTACCTCTTATTGTAATTATCATAGTGCACCTGAAGAATTATAAATCAAAAACTAGAAACCCATGGGAATCCTCAGGGATTTCGTGCTAATGCAGTGAAAAGTTATGAATTTTAAACCGAAATCGAGGATTTTATGGATGAAGTCCGAAAAATTTCATTCGCTCGTTTAGTTTTGGGGATATTCTCCAAAAACTCACCGAAAAAATTTTATCTTCATCAAATAAAAAATATTATTACTTCGTATTATTGATTATTATTGCGTTATGGTGGAGGTATTTAGTAATATTAAACATTTACATGGTTGAGAACCAATCCTAGTCCAGGGGCTATCGGAATGTCCCATTTCTCTGGCTTAAAACTCTCCTCGATGGCATCCTCCGTCGCCAGGTTTCGCACGATGGAGATCACCAGGGCCACCATTTTTCTTATCTGATGGAGCATGAAACTCTGGCCTTTCACCTGGAGAGTGGCGAATTCAATGTTGTCCTTGGAGATGTGAGTGTCCAGGACTTGGCACTTCATCATGTATCGATTGGCTCGAGGATCGAAAGGTCTTCTAAAAAAATATACAGAAGCTGTCGATGAGATTAAAAATGTTCAAGGAAGATTTTTTCAGTCAGAGACATTAAAAAAAATTCTTTCACACGGATATCAGTGCAGTTATAAATTAATAAGATTTCTTACACTCGAGCAGTGAAGTTGTGGAAATTATGGGTGCCCTCGTACAACTTTAATACTGAATTCACCTTCTCTCTTAACTCTGGGCTCATTCTGAATTCCGTGAAGGCTTTACCATCGATTGTCTTGAGCTCCTCCACTCGTTTGAGAATTTCCTCCTCCGAGAGGGGAACCCTATCCCTCAGACTCTGGTCATCGGGGGCAAATGCAAATGTCGGAAGTGTATAGGTGTACGTTCTCGCGTTGCACTGGGATTTACTGTTGAAACCCTTTGTCACACGTTTTATCCCGAACACACGAATTTCTTTCGGGAGATATTGATTTATGTCTTCAATTTTCGCTGAATCGGCTGCAAAATTTTTCAATGATGCAACGAAAATTAATTAACAAGACAAAAACGAGGGGCTAGTGTGGAAACATAAATAAAATCAAATAAAATAGATATATGGCTATAAAATAAATAAATATATAAATGAATTTATAAAATAAGCAAAAAATTCTTACGAAGTTTAGCAGAACAAATTTGTCTCGTGGCAGACACCCCTTTATCTGTCCTAGCAGCCCTCTGAAAATTGGTGTATTGAATGGTCTCGTAAGCTTCCTCATCGATCAATTTAGCCTTGAACATAGCTGTTATCAGATCCTCCTCAATAGTCCTCATCTTGGGGTTCCTCTGCATGCCATAATAATCCTTCCCCAGGTAACCAAGCATAAAAGCAAAATTCTTCTTCTTTATCCTCTCAAACTTCGCCTTCTTCGATCCCGAATCCTCAACTTCCTCTAGTGATCTCTTGTTGCTCTCCTCGACCTCTTCCACGGGGGCTGTACTGGTCTCTACCTGAGTTGACATTCTACCGCGATTTTTCACTGCAGAAAAACCGTCAGCACTTCAAATAAATTTACAACCATTAATCAAGAAATTGCAAAAAAAGCTCCACAAATCAGTGATTATCTCGAGAACGTGCGATGCTATCGAAAAGTCGATCGGAATCTTTTTGTAGAGAATTTCTTCAACAACAAAAAATGTCTGTAGACTTTTCTTCTAAGTCTTCTCGGTTTCGAGATAAATTTCAAATTAAAAAGGCGTGAGGAAGAAATAATGAATGGATGATGGAGTTTTTTATAGAAATTGATAGAAATTCATCGGATTCATTAGATTTTCTCTTTAATTTAGAATATTTTCGTACTCACCAAAGGAAGGGAGGATATTATTGATTCTACTGACTCTAAATATCCGAAGCATCGAAGGAAAATCTGGAATTCCAGCAGGGATTCAATAAATAAAGAGTTGTTGCAAATTAATGAATTAATTGATTAATTTATCCTCGCATGTTTTCCTGTTTTTCTTCTTTACACCATGTGCTGTTGGAGTTGTTAACCTCAGTTTGTTCTCTTGAATAGTATTGAATGAGGTTAGAGTAGAAATCAGTTGTCGTGAGAAAAATGAGTGGAATCCACGATTATTCCTCGTTTCTGTTGTAAATACGAATTGTCGAGGGTTTTCCACGAATTTGCAGAAGTTCTGTGGGACTAATAAAACGTGAATATCTTATTACAGTCTCCAAACATGTCTGGATTTGCTTTTAATGCTGTTTGTGGTCTGACGAGAGCTGCACAGGTTAGAAATATCGATTGTTGTTTAGCATTCATTGTTAATTTATTGTTAATCCTCTGATTATTGACTGATCATTCCCCATTTACACTGATTCAACGATCAATTCGGGTAAATTGGCTACTCGAATTGTTGGGTTAATTAATAACATAAAAAATAAACAAATTGAATAATCAATTGCTCCACTCTGGTGCACAATTATTTGGTATGTCATAATTTTGCGGTTATCTGGATAATGAATGGATTTAGAGGAAAATGTTATCGGAATTTTTTCTAGCTGAGGGTTTTTTCTAGAAAAAATTATTTCTCTTATTTTCTCCTAAGACCAATCAGTAATGAGATAACTCGAGGTTTATGAGGCAGGGGGAATTATTGATGTTGATGTTTTTAGACGAATTCTGCAATTCTGTCATCGATCTCTCGACACTCCATTGTAATGACGCAGATTAGAAATCACAATAAGCACTGGAATCCTAAATTTAAGAAGCTTCGGGCTGAAAAAGTTATAAAAATAAAATTGCCGAATTATGAGAAGGACGAGAATGATGAAATGTCAGCTGAAAAGATTCGGACTAAATTCAAGGAGCAGGGACTTCAGCCTTCCCAGCCCTGGATCGAAAAGCCCATCTTCGTCAGCTGTACCGGAGCTATCTTCGAGGAATACATACCACCTGAAGGCGACGGGAAATTCTCCGCGGTCACTGGGGCGGTGAGAGATCAATGGAAACATTCATCAAAATTTTAATCGATGAGTTTATGAAAAATCAAGAAGAAAATTGAAAAGAAATAAATATTCAGAGAAATTTTAATGAGAACATCTTCAGAGAGCAATTAATAATTGATCAAATTAATCTAATCACTCTTCAATTTTTTTTCAGGGTGCAAAGCAAAAAGTTGAATTCATGACGAAAAAGGGAAAATCTTATATGGCAGTGAAGAAGATAAAAAACTTCCTGGAAGACTTCAGCGCTGTTGATTTCGAAGAGGAGGCGCAGGAAATTTACATCAAAGCGCACGAAGCTATCGCCAAGTGAGCAATGAAGCTGAAGAATTTCTTATCGAAGTTGAAACATTGATAAAGTTTATTTATTCTAATTTTTTTTCTTTTAGCAAAGACAAAGATGCTTTACGATTGACTGTGACAGAACGAGCATATCCTGTAAGTAATTGATTTCCCGTGCATTTTTATTCCCATTCCCATGGGATTGGATATATCTGTTGAGAAGAAAAACCAATATTTTCCGTCATTAGGTGATTAGTTATGTTGTTACCTGGACATGAAAATTGGGAAGCAATGAAATAAAATAATAGAAATCTTTCTAGTAACGATAATTTGCATGAAAAATTGAGTCTTTGGATAATTAAAAATTCCATCGAAATGGAATTTGGATTCTTTCAGGAGGTAAGGCACAATACCTTAGATAAAACAATTCGCTGGAAGTTCATAGAGTCTCTGGTTCCCCCTCGAGTTGTTCACGCTCGTTGCACTGATCTCATCACCAAGGACAATGTTTTTGCCCAAATTACTGTGCGATTCCATACTCAACAGGTGATTAAACAATTACTGCAAATAGAAAAACCTGAAAATTATTCAGACTCATGTATCTCTGCATAAAATCCTCATTTCAAAGATATTATTTCTCAAAAATTTCTGCTTTAAATCTTTTAAATTCTTATTTGGTACTAACAAATAAATAATTCCATCAGCTCCATTTAATTTTCATTGAATTGATGTCTGGAATTTTTTAATAGACCCTAGCAGTCTACGACAGATTTGGTCGTCTAGTTCATGGAAGTGAATTCGTGAAGAAAGACGTTCTAGAGTACGTAGTCTTTGAGAATCACTTGGCGAATAAATATGGGAACTGGAGGATTCACGGAAAAATAATTCCCTCGTGGATGCCAGAGCGAGAGAATGCCCAGAGGACATATCTGAAGAAGCCAGAGGAGCCTGAACCCTTGGAGGAATCATCGAAGGAGGCAGAAGTGTCTATTGCTCACGTCGACAAAGATTCCTCACCTCAACAACCTGCTGTGGCCTAAGGCTCTGTGAGATAACTTAATTACCAATAAATTTATTATTGACTAATGGAGTCTTTTGCTATCGTTTCCCTCTAATGCTACAGATCTGTGATCTGCATTTTTTTTCAAACCTTTGAGAAGTGGAAGTAAAAAATAAAATGAAGACTGTTGAAGATCGAATCGAAGGATTTTTTTTTTCATTTTTATGGGGAATAAATAAAAAAAGCTGCAGAAAATTTCAATTTAATTGACAACAATTAAATACAATTCTCTATAGATACACTATGAAAAGTTAACGAATATTCTATAGAAATGTGAAATGAAACATTTTGTAGAGAAGATTTTGTTCTATCGAAATATTTCCTGTAGAAATTTCTCGTTTCTTTACTTCAGTTAATTAATGTGGAAACGAAACATAACATTACGAAAAGAGTAACAATTTTATAGAAATTATATAGATATTCACTGAAGTCCCAATTATTGGGATGAATTTCTCTCAAAAATGTTTCTCTAGAATATCTGATTTGGAGAAAGAAAAATCTGTTTTTACCCACAATATTTTTCATTTAAAATTTTTATAGAGGGAAACGTCAAAAAATAACAAAAATTTTCCATTTCACCACCAAAAGAACTGCAGTTTTTCCTTCTCCTGTTTGGTATCCCAAGGGAATGGATTACATTGTTTTTCTCAACATTTGTACGTACACCATCGACGACTTCATTGTCTGAAAATCGATTGATGTCTCGATTTGTGGGAATCTCAGGAATTTCCTGCTGCAGTAGAGGTCTTACCTTTGTGAAAGTCTCCAACGAGAAAATATAGAACCTTCCTGCAGTTATTCTAATGGGCTCTTGCGTTGTTTGCATGCATATTATTAAGGCTTTCTTGTATCCCATTGACATATCGCACCAGTTGCACTCGTAGTAGGCATTCAGAAGTGCATTACACTTGAGTACAAGAAATCCCATTAGCTGAAGAAATTTGCTGTTGTTTTCCCGGATGGGAAAATTCAATAGAAAAACCTAGCGCCTCCTTTAAATATTCTATTCAATCACCGGTGGCATTTTATAGAAATTCTATTGGGATTTTGTTAATTTTTCTCTTATTTTAATCAATATGTCATGGGAATAAATAAATGTAATGCTGAACGAAAATGGAATTAACACACGGATGAATGGAATTGTTATGAACTCTGTGGAGTTTTAATAGAATCCACTGGAATTTCTACAGAAGTTCGACAAAATTTTATAGAAAGCATTCTTTTTTTTTAATTAAATTCTTTCATACGTGATCTTACCTCAGTTTTGAGATATTCTCCCATGAAACAATTCACATATACTACAACCAGCATGGAAAAAATGTACGTGGCAAATCCAAAACATCCGACGGCATCGGCGCTATCTAGATTCTGAAATATTTCGAAAAACATCGAAACATTTAGATAATTCGCATTATAATGACATTGAACAGCTCCGGAAGTAAAAAGGCTTGAAACTTCGTTACAGGAATTGCCAGCCTAACGGTAGCGAAAAAAGTTGTTCAGTTTGCCTGAATAGCAGAAAAAAATTTGAGAGTGATCTGATGAATGTAAATAATATTAATAATTGTTCAAAGATGCGAGGTGAGCGCGCCGCCATTTTGCTGCAGAGGGAGGCAGGTAAGATGGCGGTGCATCATTGAAAAATTCCAACTTTTTATTCAAAAAACACGAGATCTACTGCGCGCTCCGTGCGCCGAATTCGAATTTCGACTTCGGATTCGAGTTGACCAATAAGGAATCAGTCTTACGAGTTTCGACTCAGGCGAACTTCATTTACATATCTTTGCTTTCATGATAAGGATTATTCAAAAATGTATTTTACTTCCAAAGCTTTTTCAGTGAAATTTTACCGTCATAAATCTATAGACAATGAGTCCCATCAAAACGGTTGTTACAACGATATCGTACAAAAGGGGTAGGTGAAAAGTATTATTGAACCATTGCGTTGTTCTGAAAGAAAAGAATAAGCTCGGGGATGAGAATTTTCAATACAATTGATAAAAAGAGTTCTTTAGGTGAATCCTGAAAAATTCGAGATATGCCATAGCAATTTCAGATACACAATTTCGAGGAATAAATGACCATGTGACCGGATTAATCCTACTCACATGAGAATTTTAATGTGTTGCTTGGTGTGTCGGTGAAAAATATGGCGGGGATCGGTATTGTCATCCGTCATTGTCATAATTCTTCTAGCGAGAACGGCAATTTGACCACAGAAATTTGTGACAAATGCGAGCGAAATCACAGCGCTTGTAAAATAGCTGGCAACCATTAATATAATTGGAAATTGATAGACGTAAAGAAAAGCAGTTCTTGGGATTGAAGATAAATTGATGAAATGATAAATTCTGTAAGGATTTATTAGGATTGCCGTTTCATCATTCACCATTCCTATTTTTGAAGAATAATATAACATCGAACACATTTTACATAGATAAATACATTTTTAAATTATTATCTGAGGTATTCCATTTTCGACAGAGACTTTTGTTTTTTGTTTGCAATAAATTCTCTCAATAAATGAATTATTTTTCTCATGTAAATACATATGAAATATATTTTCAACATCAGGGGCTGAGGCAAAATGAATCGATGCGAGATTGTTACAAACTACCAGAATCTCCAGAAAATTTTGCTCAACTAATTCTCCCCAAAAAAGCACTTCAAATACCTCCAAAATAGTTTTAAAAAAATAGTTCACTCCCAGAGAACACGATAAAACAAACTGAGAGTAATTTGAAGAAACTGAATACTCTCAGCAATCGTTTAAAAACCCGAGGTGGAAGCGCCACCATCTTGAAAGTCATTATGGGGTGCGCAAAGAATTCCATTGGAGACTAGTCAATTTGCCAATAATCTTCCATTTTGCAACGACAAAACTCCATTTTGTCCCACCCCCTGGAATATCCGCGAATACCTCAGGCTAAATTATATTTTCTCTCCTCAATGGACCAAAAAATCTTGAAAATATCTGAGTTCACTCACTTTTTACGAGATACGTGGGCAACGGCATTATGTAATACATAAAAGCAGTACCAGTGGCATAAACATTCCACCAGCGATAGAACTTCTCGACAACTGACGCATGCCCCAGATAAATCTTCAACTCCTCGGAATTGTTGAAATTCTCAACGACCATATATTTCTCCCTTGAATCAATGAGTTTAGGGAGAGTTTTGTGGAATCTAATGATGAGCAGTCTGTACATGGCCATCGTCAGGAACCCTGTCTCCACCAGATTCAACACCATCAATTCAACATTACCGCAGACACTCACCAGATCTAATAATTCCAAAAAGAGATGAAACATGAAGTACGTCAGGATGAACGATGATTTTCTTCGAGTATACGTTGTCACGTTCTTCGGCCAAATTCCTGTGATAGACAAAGGCCAAACCGCCCGATCGAGCAGAGATTTCACTCTTTCCAATTCAGCCTTAACAATAATGATGGAGTTACAAAGATTATTGATATAAGCCGAAGAATTCCTCAGGAAAGCTGTCAATTGATCCGCAGCTTTCAGCCAATCTCCGGGGAATTCTTTCGTCCGCGAAATGTACAGAAAAATTGAAATTTACCGCTAAGCTCGCGTCCATCGTTCGCGGATAAGTGAGACTGCGCAATATATTTTGTTGTAGGAGAAAAAGAAAATTCAGAAAATAGATGAGCGATGTGAAAAATTGATGGAGAGGCCGAGCGAGCGCGAGATAAAATGTAATGGAAATAGAAATTTGAGAGAAATAGTGAATAAAGTTCCGGACGTAGCTCGATGGGTTTTTAAATATTCACGTGTCTTTCGTGGAAATGGAATACTATGTTGCTGTCGAATTTGAATGCGTGGGGGATTTATAAATTTTTAAATCACATCGGAATGAGGAGGGGAAACGCAGCTTTGGGATTCGAGGCCGGACAGTCTTGGGGCACGTCCGAAGGAAACAACTGGAAGAATACAATCTGGTTATGGAGTATGAAAAAAAGTTGATTGAATTTTTATCAGTGAAAGCCTATCATTTCCTCGGAAAAAATCGGTTGATCATTTCAACAAAGGATTTGTGAAATCGCAGGTACGAATTGCAAGTAAAATTATAAGCTAATTGGGCCTGACAGGTCTCCACTGATTTTACTACATGGTTTAAGGGGTTACACTACCCTGACGCTCGGAAAAACAGGTCAAACGATGAATTTGTTTTTTAACGCGCATATAATATTTCTAGGAAAACTTTTATTTTACATATATATCAAAGATATTTCCGAACAATTTGCAATAGAAAAAAATTTTTTTAATTAAAAAATGGCGGGGATATGAATTTTTCGTTGGTGGCTGTTTTTCCAAATCTTCCTAAACGGTGGACACGATTTCTCACTGGGGCTTCATCTGAAAAATGCAAAAAAAAAATCATTATCATTTAGATAGATAATCGCATAGAACTACGAGGGGGAAAAATTTTAAAAAATTTTTTGAGAAAATGGCAGTGAGTTGAAAAAATAAAGACGATTTCGATGAAAATTCTTAGTTAAGTAAATTTATAACTTGACAATGAAACAATAAATCAAAAAAAGCTCTCGTAGTTCCATAGATAATTTTATAAAGAATATGTGGTAAAAATTTCATCGAAATTGGTATCGAGAAAAACGCAAAAGAAGAAAAAAGGGCGCGGCAGCGGCTGAAAATCAAGTTTTTTTTGGTTTACCTTCAGTCTGCGATTCCTGGACCATACATCATTTCGTCCGTTGTTGCCCTAATGTCCTCGGACTCCCTCTGAGCAGCTCTTCTTAATTTCCTGGCCTCTTTTGTCTCCTGGTCGGCTCTCATATTGGCTATCGACACTCGTCGAGAATCGAACAGCTCGATGAAGTTTAGCGCGCTCGGGCCAATTGCAAGGTTTAAAACTTGCATAATTTGCAGGATGCTAGTGTATCCATCATTAAAGGTACTAGCTGCAATGTAAGATGCGGTTTCAACAACTTTTGCCCCACTATAATGCACCTTTGGAGCCATTGACCAAATGACAGCATTGACACTTTCATTGTTGTTCTGTGTGTATCCTTCCAGACAGCGTTCCAATAATTCATCAGCAGTTAATCATTGATATATTGGCTCAATAACTTTTTGGACAGTCTCAGGCAGAGGATTCACGTGTTTATAAGAATCCAGATTTCCAGTATCCTTCGCCTTCTGATATGAACACCAACTATCTTCACCTGATGGACACTTGTCATGCTGGGGATTTTCATCAGTGGATATTTTATGGTAATAAGTTGCCCAGATAGCGTTTTTCATTGTTTCCACTGACGTATTTATGCTTCGTCTAATTGCCAGACCATAATAAGCTGTCAATTCATCAATGAGCTTTGCAGTCAACTTCCCTCTGCCACCTATACCAGGATTTTCTTTTTTTATTTTACGTAATTGCGTGCCCATTCGCTTTTGAACATGACCTACACATTCTTTTTTTTGAACAATCAAATTGTCATATGGGTTCGCGTCAACAATTCCTTTATGAGTCTTGCAGTCACCATCGCCTACGTAATGTCTGTATCTGACGTCATAAAGTTTTTCCGATCTTTGAAACATTTCTACGATGCCATCCACTTCCATCTTTCCCGCAGACCCTTTGTGATTGGCAGAACAGTTATCTGAATGAGCACTGGCCCACTCATTGTACTCTTCAGTCCCTTCAAAATGTTTCCAAAATTCACAAGCTTTACAAAATGACGATTTTACTACAAGATCGAGAACTTTTCCTGTCTGAAACGATACAAGAGTAGAAACGCCCAAGAGAGATGAGAATCCACTTTTCATCCAAGTCCCGTCCCCTGAAACGGTGATTTCTCGCGATCCAGCCAACTCTTTTGTCTCTTGAACTGCATTGCTCATCGACAATTCGCAAACAGCTTTTGCAGCAGTATGAATGATATTCACAACTTGATCGTAAAACTTTTGGAAAATTGGTTTCGGCATGTCCATAATTCCACAAAATTTCTCGATTCCTGATAAACCAATACCAAGTAGTCGGAATGCAAAAACTAACCGTCTATTCACATCATACGCTGTGGAGTTAATAAGAGGACATGAGTTTATGAGGGTTGGTTCACAATTTGCACAATTAACTTTAAGTTTGAATCCAAGACCGCGAACACTAGTTTCAGTGAACTTTACATCTCCGTTGCACTGTTTACACTTCACTACTGCACTCAAGGCTGAAAAAACTGATACGAAAGTAATCAATCGATACCCGAAAGATGCGTCTACATCGAAGTCAATAGTACCAGTGGTTTTTATTTTTTTAGCAGCTGTGCTGATGCCAGCTTCCTCCGTTTCCATATTATGCTGATTGACGATTGGAGGTTTACGTTTCCTCGGTCGAGAAGCACGTGTAGTATTTTCTCGGCCACCCTTTTTAGTAGCATATACTGTTTTCGGCATTTTTCACAAAAATGAGGAAAGTTTTAATATGCGCAGGTGACGATATTTACGTTGTGATGTCACAAGGCAGACTGAACTTAGAGTCCTAATGCATACCTGCACTTTTGTTACCTGAGGAATTTCGCGGAAGGGACCAAGCCGCCACCTGTCCCGAGTGCAGTCTTAGTCCCCTGCCGCCCCCACTTCTAATTGTTGTAACTTCTAAAATATTTGGAGTTTCATGATGGGGAGTGGCTTAAAATATTCTTAAAAGAATAACAAATTTTTAAGGCGAAAAAAAAACGATTTTTTTTTCCTTCCAGGGTAGTGTAACCCCTTAATGGGAAATAATTAAATATCGCTGAATTACAATTAGTTCTATATTTATTCAAGAGTTGAATGTCTTTTTTTTTCATACGTCGGGGGATGAAAATACTTTTCTGACCACCGGATCTCGTGAGCTTGACATTAAATCATTTTCCGCAGCATTGATACGTACACCATCGATGATTTCATTATCTGAAAATAAGGATAAATGAGTAATTGCAGATTGACTTACAGTTTGCTGGTGGTACTGTTGCTTGGCTCGTGATTTGTGCTTTGCACGTATGAATATCAATATTTTTATGAGAATTATTGAAATAGGTACCTGCGTAAAACCTTCTAATGAAAATACATAGAACCTTCCTGCTGTTAATCGAATTGGCTCTTGAGTTGTTTCCATGCATATGATCAATGCTTTCTTGTAGAAAGGTGACATCTCGTACCAATTACACTGATAGTACGCATTTAGAAGTGCGTTACACTTAAGTATGATTGATTAGTCATTGCGATATTTGGGATAATTCGTTGACATATGGAATTACGACATTTTACCTCAGTATTCAAACACTCCCCCATGAAACAATTAACGTATACTAATATTGTCATAGATAGAATGTACGCTGCTAATCCGAATACACCGAAGGCATCAGCATCATCAATATTCTGAAATGTTTAAAAGACACCAGGAGATTTCAACAAGGGGATGCACCTGCAGATTATTAGACGATTACTCAGTAGTGAAATTGTAAGAAGAAATTATCAAAATTTCGGAAATAAAATCGACTTATCTCGTTTCACCACTTCGCTATCGACATGGTGTTTTTGAGTACAGATATTACCAATAAAAATTGGTAGACGATGAGTCCTAACAAAATAGTCGTAGTGAGGAGCTCGTACAGAAGTGCCACATGATAAGCATCATTGAGCCATTGCGCCATTCTAGAAAATTACATTGAAATGGCAACTGCTGAAATCACACGAGAGTATCATCCTCACTTACATCAGAATTTTTATATGCTGCTGGGTGTGTCGACGAAAAACAACGCGGTGATCAGCATTTTTATCCTTCATCGTTGTCATTCTGTGATTGAGAATGGCTAGGTGGGCGCAGAAATTCGTGACGAATCCCAACAAAACGCTGTAAGATGCCACGAAAAATACACCGGTGTACATAATCGGAAATTGGAAGGCGTAGACAACTGCAGTTCTCTCGATGGGTGACAGATCAATGAAATGATAAATCCGATAAGGATTCACCAGAATTGCCGTTCCATTTGTCATTTCTGTTGTGACCAAATCGACGTTTAACAACCAACAAAAACATTACTGTATCGATAATCACGTCATCAACGAATTCCCAATCATATTAACAAATTCATTCAGATTTTTCATCTTCCTGTGAGTTTCCATATTTAAAAACAGAGTATTTACATCGTTGAGCAGTTTTACAAGCGCAACATGATTCAGGTGTTCGATGATTATGAGATCGACTTTATTTGACTTACTTGCTATAAAATATGTCTGCAATGGTGTCACATAGTACATGAAAGCACTGAATGCTGCAAATCTGACTCCCAGCCGGTAGAATTTATCCGTTATTTTTGTGTAGTTGAATAGAATTCTAATCTCCTGTGGGTCATGAAATTTTTCAATCGACAGATCTTCCTGAATAGCATCTATTAACCGACATGTGGTTTTGCCGAGTCGCGTTATAAGAATTCTAAACATTGCCATAGTCTGAAATGATGTCTCCGTCAGATTCACTACCACTAGCTCCAAATGTCCCACGACATTCGCCAGATCCAACAACTGCATGGAGAGATGAATAGTGAAATATGTAATGAAGATGGTGAATTTTAATTGTCCTGATCGTGTCAGGTTCTTCGGCCAAATCCCCAAGAGTGTCATCGGCCAACTTATCCGATCGAGCAGGCATTTCACTTTCTCAAATTCAGCCTTAACAAAAATATCACAAGCGTAACATTAACACTGGGAATAAAAGAGTGCATTAAAAAAATATAAGAAAAGCAAATGTACCTCTGAGCTCGCGTCCATTTCTCATGAATTTGCCACACTGTGTTGTGGAAAAAATAAAGTTTCTTCCGAAATCGAGCGAAAAAAATAAGGAGAACAGAGAAGAGATGTTAAACATTCATTGGATCCATGACTGAATGCGCCGATCGGTGTGACATAAACTACCGAGAAAATAGAAATTTGAGGGGAAATCTGGTGAAATATTGCGAATGAAGCTCCATGCCTCTTTAAAGATTCATACATTTACCGGATATGAAATGCAATGCGCGGTTTTCGGATTCGCATGCGTGACAGAGGCTCATGAATTTTTTGTTTTGGCCGAAAGGCTCGAGGGCGAGGGGTGGGTCAATCGGACTCTGTGATTTCAGAGTGAATAGTTCTTCACTGACATCTAAACTACCAACAATCTCAGAGCTCTGACCAAAAAAAATTGTCACTGACGTCCTCCCTTCCATCTGGCGTGTTCATTGATTCCCAACTATTAAGATACCCTCCCCCAAAATTCACATTTTTTTGTTTACCTGGAGAATTATTGCTATTAAAAAATTATTGATCTAAAAAAATATAACGTTTTTGTGTTTTTTTTTTCATTATTTTATCATTTTTCACGCGTTTTTTCAGTTTTCCGATTGTTTTCAAAACTTAAGAAAAAAACTCATGAAAACGTTCGTTAAATAACAACAAAACGCATAAACATTATAGTCTTTTATTGCAATCCCATCGCAAGTTTGTCAGGAGAATGAAAAAAACGGGAATTTTGATGGACAACTGATGGATTAATAACGTACGTACCAGATTCATTTGCACTAATTATCATATAATAATTGAGTGATAATATTGTTTAAATCACGCTGAGTGTTTTGCTGGCAGAATAAATTATGTCGAAATATAAAATAGTTGGTTCCGTCTGTTTAATTTATTGCAATACTATTCAAAGGCTTTTTTTCCAATAATGGAATCGGTGAAAATGTCCTTTAAGGCTGGGGTGGATCATCTAGAAAAGATCATTTACTCCGAAATTCCGATTTCTAGTTACTTTGGCAATTAATCGTTTTTTTCAATAATTGTTAGCTAGCGTTCTAGCGGTTGTCAACAACTATGCCGCTAGCTAACAATTATCGGAAAAAACGATTAATTGACGGAGTAATTAGAAGTCCCAATTTCGGAGTAAATTATCTTTTCCAGACAGTCCATCCGGGCCTTAATTGGATTTGTAATCGATTTAAGATTTTTCAGATGCGAGAAAATTATGTTAATATGATAATATACAGATAACATACGGATAATACAAATATAAACAATTAGAGGGGTAGGATGAATAAATCTTGCCATTCATACTCGAATAATTAATAAATACTAAAGTTTATTTTGAAAAAAATTGGTGCTTGCCTCTATATAGTGAGAGGATATAATCAATTTGTTATTGCAAGTGTTTACGTGTTGGATTCCCAGACACTGATGGCAGGTCTCTAAATTACAAATGACTCTAGATATCTCTAATAATGAGGTTGTCGACGGGTGAGGGTATTTTTCTGACCACCGGATCTGATGCCCTTCACATTAAATCATTGTCCGCAGCAGTGACACGTACACCATCGATGATTTCATTATCTGATAATAAGGATAAATGATTAATTGCAGATCGACTTACAGTTTGCTGGTGGTACTGTTGCTTGGCTCGTGATTTGTGCTTTGCACGTATGAAGATCAATATTTTTATGAGAATCATTGAAATAGGTACCTGCGTAAAACCTTCTAATGAAAATACATAGAACTTTCCTGCTGTTAATCGAATTGGCTCTTGAGTTGTTTCCATGCATATGATCAATGCTTTCTTGTAGAAAGGTGACATCTCGTACCAATTGCACTGATAGTACGCATTTAGAAGTGCGTTACACTTAAGTATGATTGATTAGACATTGCGATATTTGGGATAATTCGTTGACATATGAAATTACGACATTTTACCTCAGTATTCAAACACTCCCCCATGAAACAATTAACGTATACTAATATTATCATAGATAGGATGTACGTTGCCAATTTGCATACACCAAGGGCATTAGCATCATCAATATTCTGAAATGTTTAAAAGACACGAGGATATTTCGACAAGGGGATGCACCTGCAGATTATCAGACGACCAATCAGTAGTGAAGTGGTAAGAAATTATAAAAATTTCAGAGATAAAGTCGATTTATATCGTTTCACCACTTCGCTATCGATGTGGTGTTTTCGAGTATCAGACATTACCAATAAAAATTGGTAGACGACAAGACCTAACAAAACAGTGGTAGCGAGGAGCTCGTACAGAAGAGCTGCATGAAATGTATCATTGAGCCATTGCGCCGTTCTAGAAAATCGCATCAAAATGGCAACTCGTGAAATCACTAATGAAAATATTATCCGCACTTACACAATAATTTTTATGTGCCGCTGGGTGTGTCGGCGAAAAACAATGCGGGGATCAGCATCGTCGTTCTTCATCGTTGTGATTCGACGACTGAGAACGGCAAGTTGACCGCAGAGATTCATGACGAATCCCAGTAAAAGGCTGTAAGATGTCACGTAGAATAGACCGGTGTAGATCATCGGGAACTGAACGGCGTAGACAACTGCAGTTCTCTCGATGGGTGACAGATCAATGAAATGATAAATCCGATAAGGATTCACCAGAATTGCCGTTCCATTTGTCATTTCTGTTTTGACCAAATCGACGTTTAACAATCAACAAAAACATTGCCCATTTGATAATCACGTCATCACCAGATTCCCAATCATATTAGAAAATTGATTAAAAATTTTTGACGTTCCTGTGGTTTTTCAGTCAAGTTTCATGCACTGGGTAATTCTGAAATCGCTCATTTTTTCTACGTTAATCATCAATAGGATTAGCGAAAATGAACTTACTTGCTATAAGATATGACTGCAGAGGTGTCACATAATAAATGACAGCAGTGACTGTTACAAATCGGTTTCCCAGCCGGTAAAATTTCACAGCAATCGATGAATACTGCGCAAGAATTCTGATTTCCTCAATATTCCTAAAATTCTTGATCTCCAAATCTTCCTCGATTGCATCAATAATTCGACATGTTGTTTTGTCAAGACGGATTATGAGCATTCTGATCATCGCCATAAGTTGAAACGCTGATTCCGTCAGATTCAGTACCACGAGCTCCAAATTTCCCATGACATTGGCGAGATCCAACAACTGCATGGAGAGATGAATAGTGAAATATGTAATGAAGATGGTGAATTTTAATTGTCCTGATCGTGTCAGGTTCTTCGGCCAAATCCCCAAGAGTGTCATCGGCCAACTTATCCGATCGAGCAGGCATTTCACTTTCTCAAATTCAGCCTTAACAAAAATATCACAAGCGTAACATTAACACTGGGAATAAAAGAGCGCATTAAAAAAATATAAGAAAAGCAAATGTACCTCTGAGCTCGCGTCCATTTCTCATGAATTTGTCACACTGTGTTGTGGAAAAAATAAAGTTTCTTCCGAAATCGAGCGAAAAAAATAGGAAGAACAGAGGAGCGATGTTAAGCATTCATTGGATGCATCACTGAATGCGCCTTCGAGGCACATAAATTGTTGAGAAAATAAAAATTTGAGGTAAAATGTTGGGAATAAAGTTTGATGGGTTCTCAAAAATTCATGGGATGCGCGGAAATAAAATGCAATGCTTGAATTTGGGATTTGCATGCGTGACAAAAGTTCATGAATATTTTGGTTGGAAGGGCAACGGAGGGGGAAGCGAACTCTGGTATTTCAGAGTGAATAGTTCTTCATTGGCATCGACACCACCAACAACCCGAGGGAAAAATAGAGCGGTACATTCACTAGAACTAGATAAGCCCAAGTCCCCCTCAATCTAATGCTTCCCTGCAAATCAAATTCATTTTCATATATATTTTTTATTTCAATTAAATTTTTCTGCATCATCAAGTCGCCGTAAACGACTCGCGCACAAAAATTTTAAATACTCCATGTCTCAGATAGAAAATATTATCTCAACAAATCCTTTTAAAAAAACAATAGGTTAAAAATTCTCTCACGTTGTACTCGCGGCCTAATTAAATCATATCCTAAAATTTTTCCCCAAAAAGAAAATGATCGAATTGATAGACCTAGTGAAATTATGTAAATTTTCGTATAAAAAGCTTCACATTTGGAGAACTACTTCCTCGTAGCCTTGCGTAGAATTATAAAAGAATAGAGATGAACATTGAAAAAAAATGGTGTACTGTTGTGATACTTCAGTGTGATCTGAGTCCATCGCCTGGGTGTTCACTCTGAATCGAAGTGTCAGGCTGATCTTCAGGTTCTCGACTGCAAGTTAAACTTCTGTTGTTGGTCTCGCCGCCGCCTCTCTGATCCGGTTTCTCACACGTTTTGATATTCGTCTGACCTAGAGCTTGGAGATAATAAATTACGAGATAATTAATTTTATTGTGAATCCAATTCGTGAATGTTTATTTTGCTGCAATTTTTTTTTAATGATTTCGTTCACTTTTGGGTAAAATATAATGGGATACAATGAATATCGGATTTATATTGAAATATTGAAAATTTAATGAAGAATGATTGATGCAAGCGTGATAAGAGCTAATGCATTATATATTCAAAATTTGGGGAGAATGTAAAGATATACAATATGTAATTTATGTATATATTGGACTGATTGAAAAGTTTTCATACCATCGCAACAGTTCTTCATTTTACTCAGATAAGAATATTCCTTGGCATTACTGAGTCCCGATAAGACACAGGCACTAAAACCACTTCTATTGAGATTCATTGGAGCGACATCGTACCATTCATTAGCATCAGCATCATAGCACTCGACGTATGTAATCGTCGTATAATCTGTATTTATTAAAAACACATCAGAAATATCTGCTGAGAAGATGGCTTTAAAAAATGGTTCACTTCGTGGGAATGCGATGAACTAAACTGCGAGTGATTTGAATACGTTGAATAATTTTAATAATTGTTTAAAAACGCGAGGTGGACGCATTGCCATCATTGGGCTTTGGGCGGGAAATTTACTTTTTTTACAATGGGCATTTTTAAAAATTGAAAATTAAACTCCTGAGTTCTGAAAATTTTTCATTTGAAACACCCACCATCGAATCCTCCAATGACGAAAATCATACCATCCAGAACAACAGATGCAAAATTGCTCCTGGGATTTATCATCTCGGCGACTTCTTGCCAGTCATCCGCTTGACTGGGGTTGTACCGCTCGGCTGTAAAATTCAGTGAGCCCATTTATTAATTCATAGTCCCCAGGACAAGCGAAATTTAGAGTCGTCTGCGAGGAATAAACAAGTAGAATCCCCATCGGAATACAAATACTCACCGGAGGTGAGCCTAACAGACCCATCGTATCCTCCAATGGCGTAGATACAATTCCTATGAGCAATCAACGAGACACCAGATCTGGGATTGTTCATGGACTTGATGTACGTCCACTGATTGGTCTCGACATCGAATACCTCGGCTGATTGGAATATCTCGAACCCATCGAAACCCCCGACAACATAAATTTTCTCCTTGAGAACAGCTGCACTGGCGTCGGAGCGTCTCGTATGCATCGGAGGTATGATTTCCCACTGATTTCGCTCCGGGGTGTAACGCTCCGTGGAGTTCATTCTCTCTCGGCCATTTGAACCTCCTAGGGCGTAAATTTTTCCACCGTGGGTGCAGACACTTACGTAACAACGGGCGTGATACATGCAAGCACGCTCGTGCCACTTCTTCAGAATTGGATCGTAACAGCAGACTGTGTTGAAGTACTGGTGTCCAGCGTATCCACCGATCATGTAGATCAAGTTGTCCAGGGTGCAGAGGCCGTGGTATGCCTTCGGCGCCACGTCCGTATTCACCACGAACCAACTGTCTGCTCTGACGTCGTAAGTCTCGACGAAGCTGGTCGGGTAACCCCCGGTCCAACCACCTATTGCAAAGAGAATTTCGTAGGGTATCCTGGGACGGGAGCGGCACTCCGCCTGGTGGGCGTTTGTTGTTCGCAGGAGCTTTTGGCAGCCCTGAAGACATTTTTATTTAAAATTTTTATTTTTCATATCGACTTCTTATGTGCATATGTGCAATAATTGGTATATTTAAGTAGAATAAACATTTAAAAATGATAATTGAATAATTTTCAAAAAAATGTAGAATTGTCGACTTAAAATTTATAGGTTCAATGACCCTTTTAATTATGAAATTCACCGGATTTTCAGTTAAACAAAGACGATGATACCTTACTCTCCTGGACAAGCTTCCAATTGACAATTTGAGTCGAGATGTATTGAATGCTCATGAGCCCCAGACGTACACACTCCAATAAATTTGGAAGGAATTTCTTCCTCTCCTCCTCATTCTCTTCAATCCACCTCTTCAACGCTTCGAACACGATCTCCTCACTCCGTACATTCAAGTCGTCATCGATGAGAATTAATCTGAGATCTTCCCACGTCAGTTCTGATAACTCTGAACTTTCATTCAGGATTTCCGTGAAATGATGGCGTATGTATGTTCGACTCTTCTTCTCGAGCTCATGACAGAAGTAATGTCTCGTGAATTTGTAGATTCCTGCATTTGCATAAATATATATAATATATCCAACAAAAATTATATATTCCATCCTAAAATTTGTTCACCCAAGAGTTAAGATAAGACCTTTACCACCTGGTAATTAGATAATTACCTAAACAATTATCTGGTTTCAGCTCCTTCAGCAGTAGCTGACAGCACAGCTGAACAACTCCCAGGACTTCCAAGTGATCAGCTAGAGGGAGAAGCTGCTCGACGTTATCGACTGTGACATTGCAAGTGCCCGTGTAAGCGTAATCGAGAATTAAGCTGAATATTTCCCCAGGTGCAGTGTCCAAGGACACCTCAGATTTCTCGCTGTTGCCAGGAGTCTGAAGGATATTGGTAAATAGGGCCGTGAAATATGGACTCACCGCTGACAGGATCACCCGGTGAATCGGAAAAACAGCTGTTCCTGAACACTTCACAATCCCGTCGCAGAACTGCTCATTAGCCCTTAATAATTATTCATTAATTAAAGCGTCTTTTTAAGGTTTTAGTGGCTTATTCGCAGAAATAATTTTCTAATAATTAATAACATGATAATAATCAATAATTCAATATCGATATCGATAATTCCTTATTACTAGTACTGTTATTAATAACCAATCATTAATTTGATAATTCTTCTTTTCAGCGTGTCAACTGCCGGATTTAAAAATTTTTTCCCAAATGAAAACGAAATTCTACAATTGCATTATTTTAGTTTTTTAAGGTATAATTGCGTTCAGTTAATGCAACAGGAAATTCGGGAATTGCGAAAAGCACTCGGGAGTAATGACACGAGATGGGGAGGTAATTATTGATGAAAGGTATTTATTGGATTGTTCACAGATTTTTTTACCGGAATTCAGACCAGACGACGGGAAATTCAACAGCTCTGTAGTTCACTGGGAGGCAGAGACATTTTCGCGTCCTTCCACCTTGTCTTTTCTTCCCCTGTTTACGTCCTGAGGAAACCATCCCCGAGGTGTTTGTGAGGGAATTTTTGTGGATTTTTCCGCTCCTCTGAGGACCCTCCATCGCCAAGGATTGAACTTCCTTTAAGTAGCCAATGATCTTTCTTCCTGGAAGGCTCTTTAAATTCTCTTGTGATAGGGTCCTCTCGGTGACACTCAGAAACGCTCCATGCATCCAAATCAATTAAAAAACATATGAGAAGCGATTGGAGATTCTTTATTCTGACGATCGACCATTGAGAAGTCAATTTGGTTTATCGTTCAGAAAAGCTTTCCGTACTTTATCATTTCGCATAAGAAATCAATTGAATATTCAAGAAATTAGGCCATTTTTTCATTAACAACTCCTGAGTTAACTATTTATTCATTTTTTCATGTTTTTTTAATTTATAACGAATATAGTATACATATATATGTACTGAATATTTAATGTTTTCAATTTGGAATAATTCTGAGAATCTAAAAACAATGAAGAAAAATAGATAAAATTGAAATGTAAATGATTCCCCTATCAATTACGATTAGTCGATTTTTTTCAATAATTTATTCATCGCAATACTAAGAATTTAAATGTTAAAAAAAATCGGACACTTCTCCAGGTGCAGTGTCTAGAGACACCTCGACATCAAAAGATGTGAGAAGTTATTCAATGTGTTCCGCCATTTTGTGGACTGCTTCTCCACCTTCTAAAATGGCGGAAAACTCTTAAATTCGATTATATTATAATTGGTTTTCAGCCCAAAAGCGCTGTTTCTATTTATATTGTAATATTATATTGATATTATCATTATCATATTGTTTCTCTAAATTGGGGGAGTTTAAAATATTTTAGGATGGGACAAAATGGGCAACCTGAAAATTCAGATGCTTTTCACAAATATCTCCGAATCTAGCAGATATTAGAGAATTTTTATAAGAACCTTTCTTGTAGACCAAGATGAGATTTACAAAAAAGCCTATATAAAAATTTCGCTACCGACCATCACCTGAGAGCTATCCAATGAAAACTGATTTAATCCATCATCTGAACGTAGCATTATTCATCAGCAAATGAAGTTGTGACAACAATCCACATTTTATACAGAGTTTTATAGCGTTATTCGAAACTGATGTCCATGTTGCAAGTAAATTTGTTTTTGTTTTTTAAATTTATAAAGCCCGGTGCCCCAGCGTGGGCCTATGGTGTGTCGTTGTGGCAATCGATAGCCGTCACCTCGTGAATAGTCTGGAAATGTTGGACGGCTAAATGTCGAGGAGAAAAAGCCGAGATATACTCCCCCACTTCTGCGATATCAATGCCTCCATCCCACCACAATTTTCCACGCAAACTCAGTACTTGCATCACCCTCAGACCATTTAACCCCAGGTGATAGCAAAACCGCCGGCATCGCCGGTGATATCAGCCACACCTCGCAACCATTTTACATCCCCATCGCTCACCAGTCACCTAAATTCATCATTCATCAACATCTCAGGTAAGTATCATGATTTTTTTTCATCACCACGTGTGCATTTAACTCGGTGACCCCAACAACCTGGGGATAACGCGTCAAATTATTTATCAGCTGCCGTTCGGGCGCGTCATGACGATAACATATCGCTGGGGTGAATTTTATTGTTAGATTTTTTTTGGAAATTATTTTAGGGCAGCTGTCATGGAGATCAAGGGACGAGTCGCTCTCGTCACTGGAGCTGCTTCTGGCATCGGTAGGACATATGTCGAGGAACTTTTGAATCATGGAGCTACGGTAATTCAATTTTCCTGTCTCAAGGTCAATTGCGTTGAGAGGAGATTCATAATTCAAGGGTGTTCATGTTTTTTAGTTATAGTTATATTTTTTTTCGGAAATTAATGGCGAGAGTGACGTGCAAAAATAGAGCGTTTTGGAATTTGGTGTTTTTATACTTTTTTCTACTTTTAGAATGGTTTTTAAAAATTTATAAAAAACGTAGGGAGATCGTTGTATTATCTTGAAATTTGGGGAGTTATTGAATAATAAAAAATGTAAAATTTTTTATATTTTTTTACGTCAATCGAAAAATCAAAATACACCGATAAAAAATTACTTTTGTTCAATTAATTTATTTAGCATAGTAATTCGCAAGAATTTGTGAACATTATTTTTACAAATTGTTTTATTTTGTATGTATCTATTAAGGGGTAAAAATCGAATGAAATATTCGGATGGAACTTGTTTATATTTTTGATATTTTCCTCTCAGTGTCTAGGATTTATTGTTGCCAAGTTTCTTCTTCACAAAGAGAACACATTAATTTTATTTTATTTTCAGTTATTTTCGGACCACTTTGTGGAATTCTAAATGTTTTTGTAATCGCAGGTTTCGATATGTGATATAAATGCCGAAGAGGGTGAGAAATTGGCGAACAGTTTGATGACAAAACATGGAAAAGATAAAGTTATTTTCTGCCAGTGTGACGTCACGGATTATCCGCAATTCGAAGGTAAAATGTTATTGACCGCGAATATTGATTTGTCCTTTTCTTCAATGGACGAAGTATTTATATAAAATATCTATATTTATATGAATAGTTTTAATTATTGTAATTACTATTTTTAAATCGCCTTCGCACTTGGTCCATTTGATTTTTGAATAAACTCGTAATAATTTTAAGTTCAAATAAGTCAATTCAGTTCTCCGTGTTAATGTTGTTATTTAATAACAATTTTTTATTGCAATAGAGTCTTTCAGGACGACTATTTCAACGTTCGGTCGTATTGATATCGTTATCAACAACGCCGGCATAATGAATGATAGATTCTGGGAGCTGGAGGTCGACATCAATCTTGTGAGTCCTCATCAAATTACATGTTCACATAGATATTCTTCCATTTTAAAATCGAAACTCCCGTATTTTCCAATGAATTACACACAATAAAACAAAAACTTGATAGCTAAAACTAAAAATCAGAAGTCAGTAAATGTTTCCATGTGAGGAATTCTATGTGAAAATATCCGAATACCATTGTAATTATTAATTGAGGTCAACAAAACAGTGAACGACGAATAAGTGGATGTTCAAACATTTTTTTATACTACAATTTATTGATTTTTTCAATACATATTTTTTATTGAAGAGATAATTTGATGGTAAATTTCATAATAAAAAATGTATTACTTGACTTATTATAAAAATTGTTCAAGTACTCGGATGTTGTTAATTAGGGGAGAATATAAATAATCGAGATGTAATTGTAAATTACAGAATGGTGTTATCAGGGGTACTCTACTCGCCCAACGATACCTGGGGATTGATAAAGGTGGGAGAGGTGGAGTTGTCGTAAATACTGGGAGTAATGTAAGTTTAAATCCGTACATCAGCGTGCCAATTTATTCTGCCACAAAAGCTGCCATCGTTAGTCTCACAAGGGCCTTCGGGGTAAGTGTCATGAATGAATTACCAGTAATTAATATTCAAGTTGAAATATGTTTCAATTTGTGTACATGTCAGTTAAAAATATTAATGAAAATGAAATCTTCTCGACAAAGTGACTATTATACTATCACCAAATTCATGACAGATAACATCAGTTTTAATTTCACAGGACAAATACCACGTGGACTTGACAGGTGTCAGTGTCATGGCGTTATGCCCGAGTGCCACTACTGACAGTAATTTAATCCGCGATGTTGGCAAACAATTACTGTTCCCTCGTTATGAGGATGCATGGCGTCGGGATACCGCTTCCAGTGTTCCACAAAAGTTAGTTATAAAAATACTCCATTGTTTATGCTTTTGGATTTTTTCTACTTTTTTGCGATGATTCTTTGTAATTGATCTCGAATTTGTGATTTCATCACTGCTGATTCACGACATATCAATTGTTTATTTATTATATATTCATTGATATTAAGAATTTTTAATTTTCAAGACGATTTTTCATAATTTTCAACCTCTGGTATTTTTCTATAGAACAATGATATGTAAAAAAAGAAAAACTTGACTTTTTCTCATCTTTGAGGGAGAAATTTCAATTGATCAATTTATTTATTTAATTTCAGAGCTGACCACGTGGGAAAAGCACTGATTCATGTTCTAAATGTCGGAAGAAGTGGCAGCGTATGGCTAGTAGAAAACAGTCAATCAGCCCGAGAAGTCATTTTTCCAAAATGAGATAAATGACAGAGAAACTAAATTAATATCTTCAACTCTACTTAATTAACAATTGATTGGTAAACACGTCCAAGTGACATTTATCGCTTTTTACCTGCTGAATGAAATTTTATGCCGTACCAAATTAATGGAGTTTTTATACCGTATCTGGCTAGATTAAATCGCTGACTAGTGCTGAATCATTAGCCTGTCATCGAGATAAATTCCCCATGTTCCGGGGTATTTCGCAAATAAGTCCACGTATGAAAAAAATTAATAGAAAAAACCTAGGGTCTCTGTAAAAATTCTTGTAAATTCCTGTTGGAACTCTAAATATTCTCTTTAAAGAATTCTAACTCGTCGACAATTTAATTAATTAACAGCACTCTGAGTGATTAAAAAGATGAAAATACGAAATTCAGAGAAAAGGGAAATTACGATTCTCATAGAGATGATTCCAGTGGCGAAATAACATTCTCGAAGTTAACATAATTCATTAAAAAGGTGAATATTTGGAAAGAAGAATTTTTCTCATTTCTCTATTGAATTTTTTCATACATTCATCTACGACTCCGCCCAGGTATCATTCATTCTTCGTCTCACCACAGCTTTATTATATTAAAAAATCAACCCATATTTCATATGGAACGGGTGATCTACATAATCATTAATCAATCATATAGTTGTAATCGGGACCCTAAGATAGTATAAAAATTGTTGATATGAATTTTGTTCGCATTGATCGTCTGTATGAGTTGCTAGCTTGTTCGAATAAAGATTACCTAGTCTTTTATTATTAATAAATACAGCATTCTTTTTTTTATAAATCGAGTGCCAGTATCTCTGATTTCACATAACCCTTTAGAATCACCGGAAATTTACAAAATTCTTGTAACAGAAATTTCAGAATGAGCTTACGATGCTTTTTACGTCCGATTATTCTTCAGTTCGATCGTTCCCTTCCGCAATTAGCACATCGAGCTGAATTTGCAACTGCTCTTAATGAACACAAGCCAGATGGGAAGAAGAGGAAGAAGGGAATTTGGCCGTGGTCTAAGGAGCCCGAGGAAGAAAAGATAAAAATTCTAAAACCAGGAGAGTGGTAAAATATTTCAAAAATTAACCGCGAAATTTTCCGTTTAATTTTTTGTAGAACAGCATTTTTCTACTTGCTAAATAAATTCCTATAGACTCAATTCATTCTGGTAATTGAACTGTTTAGTTATCGTTTTAGGCATTGCAGATTTTCACTTTTATTACCGTAACAAAATTATTACAAGAATTTTTAATTAATTGTACTAGCGTAATTAATTTCTATTAGCAAACCAGAAGAGTCTTTCCTCGATCCAAAATGCAAGGTCGCGATAATTGTGGATGCAGGGAAGAGTTTAGGACTCTCGGCAGCGCATTCTCTTCTTCATCATGGGGCTAAGGTAAAAAAATTGGCAGGCCTACAAAAAACTACTCAAGAAAATTTCCCATCATAATTTTGAAACGGTTAATTTCATGAAAAACAGAATGAGCCGAGTTGTGAATGATCTCAAGAAGATAAATTAAATAAAGAACGAAATACAAATTGAATAAATTTGATGAATGTTTGAAAATACAAAATGCAGCCATCTTGTTCACCCTCTCTGCTCCAGGGGATTTCTAAGATGGCGGCGCCTCCACCTCGAATTTTCAAGCAATCATTAAAGTTCTTTATTTTTGTCGAATCGCTCTCAAATTTTAAGGCGCGATTCTTATGAAGTGAACAATTTTTTTAAGCTATTTTCCGGCCATTTCTATTCTCTTTCAACGGAGAAAACTCCTAACAACATTTTATCTCGTATTTTAACAGTATTTTTGCGTTCAACGCATCAGAACGAGGGAGAGATGTTGAATATATTTTTTATTCTCCAGAATGTCATTATGGCCGGGGATAATCCTTCAGTCGGGACAAGGGCAGCTCAACAGCTGTGTGACACACATGGAAAAGATCGCGCGCAATTCGCAATGTGTGCTTTGAACACTGTCTGCAAATTCGAAGGTATTGATAGTGTTGTAAAAAATTTGAACTTTTAGGTGTTAAATAAGAAGAAAATATTGTTCTCCATCAATAGCTGTCTTCGAATCTGTACTGTGCAGACAAAAACATATTCACATTTTGTTTAACAATTTCGATGAAAATTCGGCAGTTTCGCCATCTTGCGCTGGACATAATGGAGATGATGCTAATTGGGTAAGAGGTCTTACACTCAATAACTTTATTTATATTTATCCATTTTATTTGTAATCTATAAGATTTTTTTCTATAAAATTGTCTAGGGAGTGCGTTAGGTTTTTTTAAGAATCTGTCTCGTTAGTTGATGAAAAATTTCAGAGTAACACTAGAAGAGTGATCGAAGCGGGTATGAAATTCATGGGAAAACATAATGGCGGTGCAGGTGGAATTATCATAAACACAACCAGAATTATCGGTTTCATGGGATGGCCAGAGGAGCCAATACCTGTTTACACCTCGAAGGAACCTGTCGTGGAAACTACACAGGATTTAGCCGTAAAAAAATCTCTAGATAAACATTTACAGATTTGTATATCAGGCAATATTGAGAATGGAAATTGTTTCTATAGGAAATGTTTCCATTTGAGAAAACTGGCGTGCGGATAATCACCCTTCTGGAAGCATCCAGACCTTTTGAAGAAATCGGTTTACCAGATTTTCCACCTCCTGAGACAAAACGAGAAAAAGGAAAACGGATGTACACCTCGGGTGCATCTGCCTTGTACGGGAGAATGATTTGACGATGAAAAACGAAAACGTTCAATAGAAAATTGATTGATTGACTGATAAAAATCAATTTCAATCAATAATCCTTAAGAGTTTCTTCGTCTTATTATTCAATTTTCGTTCAGGGAATCAAAGATTGGTCGGGCCATTGTCCACCTCATGGCAAAAGCGATGAACGGAAGTGTATGGCTGATCGAATCCGCTTCACCCTTGCAATTACCGAGGCTCATCCATTTTCCGAAAAAAGGAGAGAAAGTTGACGGCAGGATTTACGATAGAGTTGTAAGCATTTGAAATAATTGTCGCTTTAGAACTAAAATAATGACAAGAAAATCTCCCTTCATAAATTTCCCGTCGAAAAATAATGGAAATGTCTGCAAAATCGCTTGAGAAAATTGTTAATTCTCAAGAGCAGAATGAAATGGCGGATGTAAGGATTTATCAAAATTATTAAAAAATTTTAGAAAGAACTGGAGAATTTCTATTGAAGAATCTATTAACTCTTTCCATCCAATATCTCAAATCATACAAAAAATTATAAAAATGCTAGATATCTCCATGATTTTTACTCATACGTTTTCCTCAGTACTTCAGTAATAATTTTTTAACTCTATAATTTTTGTTTCCCAGCGATGTCCCCCTGCTTTCGAATCATTTTGTGCATCTGCGAAAAACAGCAAGTGTTCGCCGGATACTAGAACCGATTGCCCCGGCAAAACTAACAAATAAAGATGATAAAGTCAACAATGGATTTTTCAATAAAGTGATACTTGTAATGGATGCTGTATTTTATTCAAGCGATAAAAAAATAATGTCAAATCGTATAAAAATTCGGAAACAGATTGTACTACAATCTTCACTTCAGACGTGGCATCTTAATTGAGATTGTCTTAGTCTCTAAATATGCGTCAAGACCATCCTCACCACTGGAAACGTTTGCAAGAATTAATAAATACATTTAGAGGTCGTTAAATAAAAAATATTTAATACTCACAGCTCACGACCAATTCCAGACTTTTTATACCCTCCAAACGGAGTCTGGGGAGTAATAGCATCGTAGCAGTTGACCCTGACACCAATTAAAAATTGTTACAATAATTATAATCTGCCCGAAATTTACCCCTAAATTTCGTTAAAATCATTTAAAATATTTCTGACGCTTCAAGATTTTCGAAACAACTTGTTCTGTTCGAATTTTTTTCTGCAGAAATTTCCATAAAATTTGAAGATAATTCCAATACAGTTTAATAAAATAGAAATAATAATAGGAAAATATCTCTTACCAGACGCTTCCTGCCTCAATAGACTCACAGAATTGGAGTGCCTTATTGATATCATTGGTAATGACACCAGCAGCTAACCCATAAGTCGTGTTATTAGCCCTTTCAATAATTTCCTCAATAGTATTGAATTTAAAAATAGACTGGACAGGTCCGAAAATCTCCTCCTTGGCGATTCTCATCTGATCCTTGACATTCGAGAAGACAGTAGGTTTAATGAAGAAGCCAACAGTTCCTTGGCGTTCACCACCAGCCTCGACAATTGCTCCCTCATCTTTCCCAGATTTTATTAATCCAATGATCTTATCGAACATTTCTTGATCAACCTGCGGTCCCTGAACCACTGTCTTGTCGAAGGGATCACCGACTTTGCGGTTGAGGGCCAGCTCTTTCGATAGCTTCACGAATTCGTCGTAGATCTTTGCTTGAACGAACGTACGAGAACCAGAACAGCAGCTCTGACCCTGATTTCCGAAAACCGCCTGGTGGGCTATTGCAGCTGCTTCTTTCACTGAAATTTATTATGAGTTATGCTAAAGCCACGATGAGACTAATTAAAATTATATTTTCTCAATGATTAGATCTTTTATTTCTGTGATAACCATCCAAAAATATGTAAAATCCTTGTAAAAATGTGATCTTCTGGTATTTACCATTCGCATCATCGAATACAACAACAGGACTTTTTCCGCTCAACTCTAAAGTGACACGTTTCAAGTTGGATTTGGCTGCTGCTCCCATGATTAAATGACCAATCTAAAAATGAACATAAGTTCTCAAAGATAAGAAAATCGCAATTATTGATTATCCATAAAAATTAGCTTGAGAGAAAAATCAATTCTGTTTGAATAATTGCATTGTGAACGAACACTCCTTATAAAATAAAATTATTGTGTCATTACTTCAGTGGATCCAGTGAATGCGATTTTGCGAATGTCTGGATGATCGCTTATGGCAGCCCCAGCAGTGGGTCCGTATCCTGGGATGACATTGACAACTCCTGGGGGAAATCCAGCTTCTTTGGCGAGTGCTGCCATGTACAAGGCTGTCAAGGGAGTCTGCTCTGCAGGTTTAAGAACAATTGTGCAGCCAGTGGCGAGAGCTGGTCCCCATTTCCACACGAGCATTAGTATTGGATAATTCCAGGAGATTATCTGGCCCACAACCCCAATGGGTTCCTTTCTGGTAATCGCCAAGTTGCCATCGTCTGAAATAATTATCATATTTCAATCTTAATTTTACGACTTCCAAAAAATACCCGAGAGCTCTTGTTCCTGAAAGCTTGTTGGTGCTCATACGGTGAATCAGAATATTAACAATTATAACTTTTGTTTCATGATAATCGTGGAATTAAATTATAATTGGAGGATTGAATCTGAATGAGAAATAATTTACCAGTGGGAATCGTGTTGCCATGGATTTTATCACACCATCCAGCATGATAGCGCAGGCAACCGACACTAGCTTCAATGTCTCCTAGAGCACTGACATAAGTTTTTCCATTATCTAGGGCTTCAAGATTCGCGAGGTGCTCAGCATCCCTCTCCATGAGATCAGCAAGCTAATATTTTGTAAATTTTACTTATAAAGTGGGAAAATAAAATTTGAAAAATGACACATCGGCAGTAATTAAGTAATTATTCACCTTATTGATGAGGAGTCCACGACCTGATGCATTCAACACTCTCCAGGGTGCTCCTCTAGTGAATGCAGCTTTTGCTGCTGCCACAGCTTTATTTACATCTGCCTAGACGAAATTAAGAAATAATAATAATAAGAAGAAGAATAAGTCTCATATTATTGATTTTTTATAAGAAATCTCGGGATTGAAAATATCTCCGGTAAATTCCGAGAGGAATAATTGTTATCAATTTTTTTGTACTCACTTTATCCCCCTCAGCAATATCAATGATAATTTTTCCAGTCGATGGATTGATTGTCGAGAATTTCTTTTTGCTCTCAGCATCGATGAATTGATTGTTGATAAAGAGCTATAAATGTTAACAAGCGATAAATTGAAGAAGTGAAAAATGAAAGACTGATAATGGGGAAAAAATTTAACCTTGCGTAAAATTAAAAAATTATGATGTCAAAGATTTAAATATTTCCCCTCACCTGGGTGTATTTAATAACAGGATTGGGATTAGCCATTGTTTATAAAAAATTTCAATAACTTTCGGTGATGAATAGTTGATTTTCTTCGGCTCCAAGGGCAATTGCTCCAGTCAATGAATCACAATGAACCACTGGTTACATGTCCATCAGCCCATTTATACGTCTCTTGCTGATACGAAAGAGGGGATTAAATCGCATCCCTATCTCTCGGAGTAGACGATAAACGCCAGACGTGTAAATAGACGGCTATATTTTTATTTATTATATGATGAAACACACGGCACGAACTGCATATTCCGAAAAATGAGAGATTGATAGCCTGTGGGAAATTGCCTTTTCCGATTGATTTGTTGACCCTGCGATAGATAATCGAATACTGGAGAAACAAAATATTGACTCTTCAACATTATTTATTCCGAGGACTAAGTGATTATTTGTTATTTAAATTAATGAGATGTTTTATCAATCAGTGCAGGGGAGGGCAAAATTTAAATTCAATAGAATTCCATTCCATTTTTCAAACTAGTTTATCCACAGGTAGACTGAAAAATGTCTGAAAAAAATGAGAATTTTGGATTCCTGGGAAATTGAAGAAAAGATCAGACATGTCAAAGAGCACTATTCAAATTTTTATTTAATATAATAGAAATTTTTTTACATACGTACATATAATTGCTCTTATAGATCGTATTTACACCCAGTCTTTCAGTAAAATTCGATTTTTTAAACTAGTAAGATAGTTAAAAAAACGTAAGGTTTCTTAATCTTATATTTGCTCCTCAATCTCATATTGGAGTTTCCAATGCGCATAGAACTTGAATATTAAAAAAAGAAAATGATAAAATGAGAATTTACAAATGATAGGAGTCAACTTCTTGGTGAATCAAAGGCCATCAAGTCTCCATTAGGCAATGCATCTGCGACAACATCACGATTTCCAAAGAAACTTATTCGATCCTTTAATCTCCTCGGAGTAAGTGGCACAGGTTTACAAGTGATACAATCATCATCAGGTAAATGTTTGACACTCTTGCGAGCAGATCTTCTCACACTCGACTTATCTAAGTTAATCCGGACCTTCGGGGTTCGTGGGCTCGGCAACTTCACGTTCTGCACTCCAGAAGAGTTCTCCTTATTTCCAAAATCATTAGACATATTCCCCTCCTCCCCAAAGCTGGAGTGCATACTGGCATTGAGCCTGGAAGTTCTACGCTTTCTAACCGGGAGATTATCAATCAGGATTGTTCGATTTCGCAATTGCCTAATTGCCAAAGATCCTGGACTTGTTTCACTCTTTCTCTCTGGATCCTCAATGATCTGCTGAATTCCAGATGTTTCTAATGATTCTGGCGCAAAATCAGAAGTGGATGTCGGAGTAGTTTTTCCAGGGGAGGGTGTCGTTTCCTCAGACGTTTCCTTGGGCTGTGATAGGGGAGTTGCTTCAATCATTTCAATCGTTGGGACTCTGTTAATAGGAGGTGTAATTTCCTTGGATGTGTCCGTGGGCTGTAGTATGGGAGTTGCTTCAGTCAATTCAATCGTTGGGACCCTGATGCCAGGTATTTTTTTGGTTTCTTTAATGTACGCTGGTGGAGGCATATGGTCCTCAGTGCCACCCTCAGGTACCCCTGGTTCATATCCAGAGGATTCAACGTCATTCTCAACAGTGTGCTTGGAGTCATCTACAATGTCATCATCATCAAACACCAATTTTTTATTCGCAAATACCTGTCCCTCCTCCAGAGGTATCTGATCTGGCATGTCCACAACGTCATTGAAGTTCACCTTGCACGTTTGCCTGTCCTGCTTTCCGTCAGTTCTTGGCAGATTCTCAGTCTTCTTCAGGATTCCTTTACCAGGTGTTTGCCCAGAGTTGATGTACGAGATGGATTGATCGTGCTGGATCTCAGGGGTTTTGCATTTCTGAGTGACCTTGATCATGGCGAAGGAATTCTGAGTCAGCCTTTTTGCACTCTCAGTCAATTGCACCTGCTTCAAAAGACTCAGTCTTTCTCCACGTGGTGTGAGCTTGGCCCTGCTATGAGGAGACACTGGCCTGGGTAGACTCTTCCTTGGACTCAGGGAGGATTTCACATCAATAGACTCCTTCACTTCCGGGATATTCTCCACTCTAACATTCTCCTTTGCCATCCTCTTTTTCCTCTGGGCCTCTATAAACGACCTCATGTTACTCCTCCCCTCGATCTTCTTCTTCTTCACAACTGGCCTCTTCTTCTGTACTTTCATCTCCACTTCCTCCTCCTCTTTCCAACCATTTCCCCTAATTTCCGCCAGCTTAGTGAATCGAGAGTCACAGTCTCTGATCTCCATCTGCATCATCTCCCAGAAACCCTGGAGATCTGCACAACGTACCAGCTGCTCACCCATGCCAGTCTCGCAGCTGTTCACTAAACACTTGAATCTCTCGAATTTTTTCCTTATCAGTAATTTTGTTTGACCAATCGCCTGGTTAATCATGTAGATCCCGTCCTCTGGAGTTATGGAGTCCTCCTGGAGGGGCTGCCACGTGGAGCACAGCTCGTTCAACCTCGCCTCCTCCGAGTTCACCAGGTGTTTATAATATTGAGATGTATTTTTCTCCTCTGCTACGGAGATATTCAAACTCTGGATTACCGTGTCTTTTGTGGGAACGTCATCTTTAGGAGAGGACTTGTGAAGACTGAGCCGTTGCTTTTGTTCCTTTCTTGCATTGCTTTTGCCTCGGCTTGAGACAATAAAGGGCGAGAATTGGGCTGGCATCACCTCCTCGGAGGATAACTCAATGTCTATGCTCTTTTGTTCCTCTAGGATGTTCACCTCTTGGGGGGGTATCGAGGCCTCAAATTGTGAGGACATCCGGAGGATCACACTCTCGATACTGGAGTTACAGGATTGACTTGAGATTTGTTTCACCACAGCCTCAGGCTCTTCTTCGGATACCTTCTCGAGTGACGTCGTCTGTGGAATTTTCTCCGCCGGTGGAGACTTGTCACGCTTCGGGGGCGTCTTTTCAGTCATCTCTTGGGTTGGTTTTAATGGAGATATCTGGATTTTCGTCGTTATCGAATAGTCAGCCACTTTGAAGTCCAAGGTAGCGACGACATCAGGAATTATAACTTCGCCGAAAAGGGGCATGGGGCGTGAGAATTTCGGCCCTTTAAATTCGTAATTCTCTGGTGCGAGCGAAATCTTCTTGAGTGTCTCTTTCTCAACTCTGTTCTCCGATTTTTTTTCGGCTTGCAGCAGCGCTTTCTTTCGACTCCTGGTGAGTCGAGGCTGGAGTGGCGACTTGGAGGCTGATGTTTTCCCTGTACTGGTACTGGGCTGGGAGATAATTGTGGATGAGTTGGACGCTCCTGTTGCCGTTGCTGCTGCTGCTGCTTGTCTAGCAGCCATTCGACGAGCAGTTACAGCTGTCACTCTTTTCGGTGGGGTGGAACCTCTCGGCTTTTTATGTTGATGTGGTACAGAACCTTTGGACGCTGGTGAAAAAAAATTGTGATGGGGAATACCGATCACAAAAGCCGGACGTTTCTTCTTCGCCTCGAGCTTCTTTTTCAAATCCTTCTGCACCTTCCATTTCTCCAGACGAATCGCTCGATATTCTGGAGTGTCCTCGATCTCTTCTGAAATCCATTAATTTCAAAATTATATTATAAATTTCAATTTCTCTAAATCCCTGGAAAAGTGGATGTCTAGTATCATGTCTCGATGGTGACATACAATCAAGATTTGCGCATGTAAATAACTATTAAGGGTGCTCTACATACATATATACCCAAATTTATTAATAATATAATAATTAACAAAATTTCTACATTTTTCTGGCAAACTTACTATGGGACTGACGTTAAAAAATGTGTTTTTGCGTTTCGTCATCATTTAATTACTCACGAAATTTCAAGGTGGTGGAAAATTTTTTTTGTGTTTTTTCTAAAGTTTCAAGGACAATCACAAAACTGCAGAGGAAATGCATGAAAATTATCGCACCACCAGGGAATTTCGTGAGCTATTAAATAATGAAAGAGAAACCGCTAAAACCTTATATTTTTTTACATTAATCGCATCGATAATTTCCCAAGAAACATTTTAAAAAAACGCTAATTTTTGCTACATCTATTCATCATAAATAAAAATTTTAGGGCAATTTTGAATTTTATTTTCCGTTACATGTCCAACGACGCATACGGAAATCGTATGCACTAGTGTAAGGGGGTACCCGAAAGTTTACGAAATTTCCGCCATTTTTCAATTGTCTTGGAGTCTCTGGAGATATAAGTACATTTACATTAAATATTAACAAACCTTCGATGCTGCTAACTGGTGAAATCTGTCTCAGACGATTGAGCTGCTGTTCCCTCCTGTTTTGGCGCTGAGATTGATGCTCATCCATCCGCATATATCTGGCTTCCTTGCTTTGGAAATTTCTCGGTTTCGATTTCCATTGGTCTCGGCGATCCATTGTCCTTTTATGTCAAAAACTTAAAAATTAAAAAATCAAACTTTTCCTCTACGCGTTGATTCGCGATATCTCCTAAACCAGCGATGACAAATGCGTTGATAAAAAATGGCGGAGCGTAGACTCCTCACAAACGAACAAATTATTTTGAAATGGCAACGGACTCGGCGACTTTTCAATCTCCGAGTTGTTTTTCTCTTGACAAACTTCAGGTTGTTCCCCCGCCCTGTCGTCGACGCATGCGCAAACGGCTATACTGCCTGTGCGCATCAGTCTGCGCAGCTCAAAAAGTCATCCGTTACTTTAAATTTTAATTTCATGTGTATTTTTAATTTCATAAGAGAGATAGTTTAACAAAAATGCCTTGGAGACGAGTGTATTTTTTTTCTCAGTATGAGCATCCCTTTCCATTACATCCCTGTCAATTAGTGGTGACAGCATGACAACTTGACAAGCGAAGATTGCGCAGAAATTTCGTCATCACGAGCACTAACCATCTCCATATTCACGTATCTCGAAACGCTCCAAACATCTCTCCTCTCCCTCCGCTTTTTGTCGGCCATTTCCTAAAACTCCGCCATCTTTCTTATCACCCCTCGCTTCCCCCTGTTCGTTCTTTTGAAAAGAACACTTCTCTCTTTTCATCGGTCGCCATTGCCAGCTCAGAGCAGTTGTACCTCATCGTCGTACAGTTATATATACATATATATATATACATCACTCGACGAGTACTCGTCCCAAAGGGGAATGAAAATGTCGGTGCGTTGGTGGGGTCTCTCGTGCCACTAGTGACTTTCGCCAGCCATTTTCCCATTTATCCAGAAATCATTGTTTTTCACCAACACCCATCGACGGACTTTATTTTTTTTTATTTTTAATTTATTTCGTTTACGAGTAACTATTCACGGTTAATCAGTGAGCGGAGGGATTCATTTTATTTCTGGTGAGGCACACAGGATTTCAACAAAGCTCCAGTCGACACGAAGAGGTTTTTCAACTTTTTTTTTTGTTCGTCTTTTCCTTTTTAAAACTACATGGAGTGTGTGTGAGTTGCCGTCAGCAGAAGGTACGGGTGATTGAGAGAGAGAAATTGGATATTCCCATATTTTTTCGCTAGTTGTGAATAATTTTTTCATATTTTTTTGGATTTTTATATTTCTTTTGAAGTCAATTCGAGGCAAGAGCTGTGGGAATTGATAACTGCACAAGTGTTTTCTAACGTGATATTGAGGGCCTGGGGCTCTCGGTTCGCACAATTAAACCATCTTGCAACGGTATATGGTATGTCTCGACATTGAGACTCTTTTATTTTAGTCACTTTTTTGTTTCTTTATTTTGATTGAAGTTATTGAGCTAAATCGTTTGATATTGTACGCTGGGTTAAATCATTTGAGATATTTGACGTTGGTTATAATTGAGACACCTTGGTTACGTTGACGTTGAAATTTTCTCATTGAAAAGGAAAAAGAAAAAGTTGTTCTCGCAATATTTGTTAAGTCGGGTGGTTGTGCTTGTGGAATTTAATGGTATTTTTCTGCTGGCGGAGGTGAATAAATTTTGAGGTTTTTATTAAAATTATTTATTTTCTCAACCTGTGACTATATAGTGACTAAATACAAAGTGAAATGGCGTTGATGAGTAGTGTACTCGGTAAAACCGAATTCATCGTCGGTGGAAAGTATAGGCTCATGAGGAAAATTGGATCGGGATCATTCGGCGAAATTTATCTTGGCATCAACATTTCCAATGGCGAGGTGAGATATATATTTGGCATCGTATCGGTGTAGCTATTGTGATTTTTATTTTCTCCTCATGGCGTACGTTGGGACTCGATATCTCGACCTTATTCTCATTATTTTTGGGATATTTATCGATTTATTGGTGAATTTTATTTGTTTTCTTTGTCCCAATGGCAGGAAGTTGCTGTCAAACTCGAGAACATACGAGCACGTCATCCACAACTGCTCTACGAGTCCAAATTGTACAAAATATTACATGGGGGCGTTGGAATTCCACACATTCGCTGGTAATTATTTATTTCTAATTATTGGGGTGGGGACATTATCGAGGGTTTCAGGTGAGTTATTAATTGTTCAATCATCATGAAAGCGGGGGCTCACGAGAAAATGTCAGGGTTTTCACATTTTCTCTCCAAACTACTGATAAGGTAATCAATTTCTGGTAATGGGGGTCATTTGAATTTTTATTCATTCTTTACAGGTGAATTTGTGTCGATTTCAGTCTAAATTAGCGATGAACGTCATTTCGAAATTACTCCCATTTAATTATTATAAATAATCAATCATTTTTTTATTGAATAATTACGTAGGTGAATAATTTATTAAAAAAAGCCTATAATAATGGATTTTTTTATTATGACTTTTATTTTAACATGAATCATTATGAAGGATTATGAATGATATCTTTATTATTTTAATTTTATTATAAAAACCTTCGAAATTAATAATTAAAGAAAATAATGAAAAACTATTTTTAAATTGATACAGGTTCCAGCGAATGTTTCTCTATGAGTTACTCAAAAATCACTTATTATCAGAATAATCCCACAATTGCGCAAATCTTCTGTCTTGAACACGAATCTTCATTTGCTTCTATTGATCATGCGTTAATCTGGAGAAAAAGGGAAAGTGGGAAATGACTAGGAGATTTTTCAGGAAGAGATAACATTTTCAACGAAAAATGCCTCTTGACATTTTCCTCCTGATCGATATATCTGAAATTCGACAAATATTATTTAAAAATTCAAAGGTTTTTTCAGTAACTTGTAACTGAACTAATTCTTCCCATCAGTATTTGCAACAGATGATGCAAGGATCGGGATAAATTAAACGTCCCACGAGACTCGTATTCGTTTTTCAGATACAAGAAGAACAATTGCGAATTTCATTCACACATTTGATTATTGAGTATTATTGATTGGCATTCATTGTCTGTGCCAGAAACAATTGATTAAATATTTTGACGATTCTCTATTGGTTGGAATGAGACACAAAAAAAGAAACGAAGTTTCGTCGATTGTTCCTGCTCGCGTCACGCGTCCTGCTTACGTTTTTAGATAAAATTGATAAACTCCTCATTGTTATTGCGATTAAATGAATATTTTCTGAAAACCTCACGTTTAGATGGCAATCTGTTTATGAGAAGTCAAGATAGTTGATATTTTTTTATATATTTTAATAATTAATGATATTTTCTTGACTCAGGTATGGGCAGGAGAGAGACTGGAATATACTCGTGATGGACTTACTAGGTCCTTCGCTGGAAGACTTATTCACATTTTGTTCCCGAAGATTCACCATTAAGACCGTGCTAATGCTCGCTGATCAGATGATAGGGAGAATTGAATTTGTACACTGCAAGCACTTCATACACAGGGATATTAAGCCAGATAATTTCCTGATGGGCATTGGACGCCATTGCAACAAACTATTTATCATCGACTTTGGTCTTGCGAAGAAGTATCGTGACAGTCGCACCAGATGTCACATAGCATACCGAGAGGACAAGAATCTCACTGGTACAGCGAGGTATGCATCGATAAATGCTCACCTCTCAATTGAACAGAGTCGTCGAGATGATATGGAGTCACTGGGTTACGTGCTAATGTATTTCAATCGTGGCTCATTACCCTGGCAAGGGCTCAAGGCTGCTACGAAGAAGCAGAAGTACGAGAAAATCAGTGAGAAGAAGATGTCGACGCCAGTTGAAGCTTTGTGCAAAGTAATTTCTTTCTTCATATCATTTTTTTAATTATCGAAAGGTGAACGAATGAATAAATATGGAAAAATAATTATTGCAGGGATTCCCAGCAGAATTCGCCATGTACATAAATTACACAAAAGGACTTCGCTTCGATGAGTCCCCTGATTACATGTACCTACGCCAGCTCTTCCGTATCCTGTTTCGTACTCTCAATCATCAGTACGATTACACATTCGACTGGACGATGCTTAAGCAGAAAGCGGGACTCTCTCTCTCAGGACCAACACCAACAACTATCGCTGGTGCAGGATTGGCACAGGGTGGACAAGGACAAGGTCAGCGGGAACAGAATGCATCCGCCAACCAAACAGTCAGGGCTTTGGAAGCGATAGATTTAATCTAAAAATTTCTTTGGCTCTCGTTCCTCTCTACTATCTCCTATTATTTTTTTTTAGTTCATTTTTTTTTTCGTTTTCTCGTTCTCTCTCCATCTCAATTTCAATCTTATTTTTATTATCGCTGAATTTAAACGAAGGATAATGCAAGTGCGAGAATGTCTCAGGCTTTCTTGGACCACCAATTGTTTCTTTTATTCTTGTGTTTACCTTCTCAAGACTTTGTTCTTTTTTTTTTTGGTTCCCTTTCTCTTGTTCTTCTGGGGAGTTTTTCATATTTTCTTTCTGCTCGTGTGGTCCAAACAAAGCCCCTTGCACACGCCGAAAGAAAATGAGGAAGAAATTGTGGTGAATTCTGTTTCAAGTCCAAGTCGTACATTTTTGTAATGAAGGGAGAGTAAAGAGATGAGATGATAATCGCCTCTTCTTCGTGTTTGTAAATTTTTCTCGAGGTAAAAGATGATGGAGAATATATTGTATTTCGCTGTGGAATGTTTTCAGCGAGAAATTTCAAATGTGCAAAATTAATGGAAAACCATAGACATTTATTTTTATTCTCCACGAGGATAAGAATATACTTCATCACTCTATTATTCTTCAAATAATCGAAAAATCCACTAGAAAGATGAGACTAACATCTCTTTTCTTCGAGATATTTCTACTCACGTCGAAGTGAAACGTGAACACCTCTTTGCACCCCTTCAAAACAGATTTGATGCTCGTAATAAGAGTTAACACTCACTAGTATAAAAATTGATATAATTTATAAACTAGCAATTCGTAATTAAACTCCTGGAAAGGAAGAACTAAAGAGAAGACTCAAATGTCGGCAAAAGTTTTAATGAAAGTTGCATTAACGTCAGCAGTTGGTGATGGCGTCAGAAAATTATCGCGACAAGCCGTCAATGAATCTTCCAAGCGAGGCTAGAGTCCCTATCTCCTCTTGCATTGAAACAATAAGAAGATTAGAAATTTTTGAAATAAAGAAAAAGAGCTGGATATTCTTGAAATGATTTCATTGTTCACCTGCCAAAGAACAGCCACTACAAAAATGATTCATCATCTCCGTTCACTGATCGATCAGTTTTTTTTTTATCTCATTGTCAAATTTCTTACTTCATTGAACAAAAATTATCAAGTGGACAGTGACTTCAGGGTGTTCCTGCGTCCTCGTCCAGATTTCCGTCCTTGCGCAGATCCTCCGTCCGTATCAGGCGAGTCAGAATTACCATAAATTAATTAGTTTATTATAAATTCTTCGTCGTTTAATCAAGATTATCTCGATGGAGAGAAAGATGAAATCGTTTGAAATTTTTTGAAATCATTTGAGATGATGGAATTGTGCAAATTTTTTTGATTTTTTTTTTGCAGATTTACTGAATTCCTTTTTCTGTCTTTCTTCTTGAGGAATGAGTGATCGTGGTGCTTGTTTGGGGCACTGTCGGTTCAATTATTTTGGGATTCGATTATTTGAGCATGGAAATATTTGAGCATGAATTAATAATTGAGGTTGTTCTGTTGAGTGAGGTGGAGAAGAGTAATGCTTGGGGGGGACTTGAGTACATGAGGAGGTGGTGAGCTTGTCTCATCGGGATTCTGATGGAGATCCTTCAGTGGAAGGATTATTAACTCACTACCTCTTCAGGTTCTCAAGGTATTCCCAAGAATTTACCTCCATTTTCCTCATTACGTCATTGGAATTGTTGTGAATTGTTTAACGTACATAAAAATTATGGAATGGGAGGATGGAGAATATTGGATACGTAAATACCTGGAAGTCTGGATGAAAGAGTCGTCTATTATTTTGAATTATAAATTTATTTGAAATTCAATTCAATTCGTTTTACTCTCAATTTTATTATTCAGAAATTGTAAATTAAATCTAGGATGCTTTGATTTAAAATGTAATTATTGTATACAATTTTCTCAATCATATCCTGATTTAGAAGATCTGATAAAATGTCACACAAAATTCCAATTAGTTTTTTGTTGATTGAACTATTAACAATAAGACAAAATACACTGATTGTAGGCTTTAATTAATGCTTCTCTTGATTTGCAACTCTAGTATTTGAAGCCAAACCAAAGTACGTGGTACCTAAATCTTGATAAATGAGTTATTTGAATAACACAATTAATTTAATAAACAGAAATTCGTAAAGCGATTCTGCTGAGAATTTCAGGTACTAGATTGAATTCACGTATTAATTAATGAATTGATTTTGAATTTTCTTGAAATTTGATAATTGAAAAGAAAATATAATTAATTTGTCATTGAGCCTATTGTGATTTGGACGTGTCTTGGAATCTGTTACAGGAGCGTTTTAAAACACTCTAACTCCGTGTGATAGCCACCAAATCCCGAATGCAATCGCAGTGGTATCAGTATCCAATAAATATTGAATACGTAGCCCATAATTAACAAATCGACAACCGTGCGAGAACAGGTGTGACACGAGTGCGAGAGAAAGAGCGACTAGAGACTCTTGAGAAGAACAATAGTTGTCATCCCCATAAAATAACCCAGGAAATAATAACGACCAAAATCATATTAGCTAAAGCAAAAGGAAGAAAAAAGAATGGAGTTAAGAAGACAAAAAATGGCAATTATTCATTCAATCCACGTGTGTGTCACTCAAGTGGATGGAGAATGGACAGAGAAAAAGTAATAAAACAAATAACCATACCCAAAAAAGTAACAAACATTTTTTCATAAATTTCATAACTACATCTTGACATAACATTAAAAACGAAACAACCGATAAATCTGTATAAACCTTTTTTCGGTACTTAGTTTAATTTGTTATCATTATAGATTAGTATTATTTTTTTTTCCTAAAAAAAAACAAAAAGGATATGTCTGTCTCTCTTTTACTTACTTTATTTTCTTTCTACTGATTAATCCAATATTCCATTATCATTTCGTGCACCGAGGGATGAGGAACCTCATGGGAATGTCTTCACTCTGTTATGTATCTATTTAAGTGAACTACAGTAAGATAAAAAATATTTGATTAATCAATTTATAAATACTGATAATAGAGGTGTTGTCATCATTATAGAGGTGTTGATTAATCCTGGAGTTGCAGTTTAAGAGACAAAAATAATAAGTAACACTTTTAACATTAAAATAAAGTAAAATGGAATAAAACATGGAAAGGAAGCAATTGAAATGGAAGTGTGCGCAACGCGTCATCAAAGTTTAATGCGGCAAGTGATATACGAATATGTGTGTGTGATTTTGTGTATAATGCTTAATGGAGGATCCTTTAATCAATGCTTGTTTAAAAACAAAATGAAGAGAAACAAAATTTCATTTGAATTATGAAGATGATAAATGGAAAAATTGCTAAAGAAAAACGAGAGAGACGAATGTGACGAGAACAAGAGAGAGAATGCCTCATCTACTATTCACAATTAATCAACAATTATTATTTTTTTTATTATATTATTAAAATGGCCGGGACAATAACGAGAACTTCTAGTAGTGGCTGGTATTTGTCACGGTGACAATGATCATTAACATCATTAAAATATATCAGAAGTCAAGTTATGTTTTATTTTTAACTGTCCGATTTGTCGGCTAGTTATTGTATCTCATTAATTATTACTATCATTTAAAAATAATGAAAATTGAATAGAGAAAAACGGTACTAGAGATTTAAGATTCAATAATTTCTTTCATTTAGTTTTATGGAAAACTGAATAACGAGAGAAGTGGTAATGTTTTATTTTTAAGTTTCAAATCTTCGATGGACGCCCGATGCGTTTTTATCAATGAAAAAATAAAACATGGAAGAGGATAGGAATATGAAGTGGGTCAAAAACAAAATAAAATATCTAATGGGTTAAAATATAGTGAAAGTAAGGATATGAATGAAATGAGCAGGAGTGAATGATGTGAATTTCAATGAAATGTCTGAAATTTTGTAAAAGCGTAAGATCCGCTTTTAATGGAATGCGTGAGGTTTAATTAGTTCATACAATAGGAAACTACCGACTTGAAAAGAATAAGAAAAATGGCAAAAAAAAGTTTAAAAAACATAAGAAAATGGGAAAAAAATGATAATAACACTGAAGTACGCGAATAACGAAAGTGGGTGTATATTGAACAAAATAAATGAAAAAAAAAACGAAGATAATCGTGAATAAACGAATACGTGCACATGCTGCGAGTATATATTATATATATTATTATGAAAATGTGACATTAAATGACTTACGCGTTATTTCATTAAAAAGAAACAAACAATATTCATGCGAAATGGGGGAAGTACGTCAGAACATTTTGTGTTTTATCCACTTCTATCTAACATCAACAAAATGCCCCCTTCTTTCGTCTCTATTAATAAAGACTCGACATTGTACTGTAATTCATCTGTATCGCTATTTTTATTTTCTTCATCCCTGCCAATTATCCATTATATTAATTACCTATTTGTTATGGGTCATATGTGATTTTACTTCTTCTATTTTATTGTTATTTATGATATTTATGATGCAACAAATTCTTCATTCATCATTTATTCATTCTTCTTCCGTTGGAATCTCTTTGTAAAAATGTAGTTGGATCCGAGGTTTAAAAATTTTTAGTTGAAAAAACGGGAGGATAAAGGGATTTTTGAAAGGATAATTTGATAAATAATTTCACGATCCGTACTAAATGATAAAAGTATTGGATTCTTTCATTTTTATCACCAGAACATCACGTGAAGAGGAATAGGTATTTTGTGCGACTGGAGACGGTGAGGAAGAAGGTGATTATGAATATTCAAAACATTTCTATTACTTTCAGGTATTCCGAAATAATGAACTACTTAATTAGGTCATTTAGTGGATCTGCAGTTCTCATTAGCCGACTATTTTTATCGATAGTCAAAGCAATACGATTAATCGCTTCAAGTAATTAATTATCATTGAAAACGAGTGATTCTTTCGAAAGTCAAAGTTGCTAATGAATATTTCATTTGCAATATTTTGAATTCTAAAAAAAATCAATTATGGAAATTCTGGATTGACTTTGATTAATTAAGGTGTTAATAATTATTCAGTGACATTGATCTTCAGATATTGCATCTATCTATTTCAGCATGCGTTGTTGATTATATAATGCCTTGACAATTGGCAAATTGAGCAATTGGTCAATTCCAATGCTCCAAAAATAAAACACTGATTTTTTAACTAATATTACAATGTGTATAAAAAATGTGTTTAAATCATTATTATATAAAAAAATTATTCGTGAAGACTATATTGAAGATAACGTTATAGATTTTATTTATCGATTTTTTCGCCTGTCCTATATACGATATATATAGAATGAAATAAAAAAAATGGCAGATAAGGAAGAAATTGAGGTAGAAAAGATTTGAATGATAAAGCAGAAACTGTGAGTATCGATTAAAAAAAATAATAGTGCCCGACGCAGGCGCTCCTTTCTCGTACTAAAACCCAAACTTTTGGTTGATAAAAAAAAAATCCAGTTGCTTCATGTAAACGAATGATAAAACATTTTTTTTCGCACAATTATCTCGCGCGTGAACCGAACAAATTTAACTGAAACTACGGCGTGCTTCCGGTGAGTGAATTTCTAGGTGAAAATTTGTGAAGTGCTTGTACCAATAACGAGAGAAAATGGCCATCCATTTGTGATGAACCTCAGTACCCTATCACGGGCAATTGCAGGTAAATTAATCAATCCAGTGATTGGCATTTGTCAGAATTTTTCTCTTGTATTTCATTGATTATTCAATTCAGTCCAGAGTACTCGTCAATAGCATTGAAATCTCTCAATCCATTCATACCCCGTATTCCACATTTTCTACTCGCAAAATTTTCTGTTTACCTTTCCCTCGTAATATTTATTACCAACAATTCCTCTCGCTTTTGATGTCGCCACTGGGCTCCAGTATTATTGCTACATTTTTTATTCACATGTTCTATCATTTTCGGTAATTGTTGAATAATTTTTCAGACTGTGGAGTCTTTTATAATTCTCGAGGAATTCACGTGTTCGTGTTTATTCGTGATCCCTCACCCAGTTCTTCCTAGAAATGAAGAACGAGAATAATAATAATAATAATAATTTTGTCAAGTAAATAATTGCTGGAAAATCTACTGTCCTATTTCAATAGAAAGCGTAAATTAATTTTTTTCGCGACACAGCGCTAGATTAAATGCACGTTTTTTTTTCCAAGGAAGAATAAATTTCAGACAAAATCATTGCATCACGCGATTTTTCTTCCTTTGCAATAGCGAATGCCTTGTTCTTATTTTTTTCTCGTCCATGCGGTTATCTCATTCAATAATTGTTTTTAAAAAATGTTGAAAGAATTATCGATTGTTTGTGGATCAACTAATTAATAATGTTCAAACAAATTCACATGTAATGAATACAAATTTTTGTTTTCCAATTGTAAGATAATTAAATAATAACAACAATTATTATTTATTTTGACTATTGATTATTCATTGTAGTTAGTATTAAATAACTAGTGATTGGAATTATTAGTCACTTATTTTTAAAAATTAGTATCATATTTTATTTACAATTTGTCCATTACACTTTTTATCCAATTATAATTTTCATGTGATAATGATTACAAGTTCAAAATTCTCGAGTATCACATGAGAAATAGAATTACTATTTCTCATGTGATACTCGAGAATTTTGAAAATGTTGAATTACTGCTTAAATTCCGAAGAACTTATTCATCACTAAATAAACATCGGCATTTCGCGAGAAATTCTTAATTCTCCGTTAGAGTTATTATCATCATTATCATCAATGGGCAATGGAATATTGTAAGATATTCACGTGCGAGCCTAATTTTGTCTCAAGATCCAACATATCGCAGATGTTCCGATATCGTTATCACCCCCTCCCAAGTCCGCTAATTCCTAATATTTGATTTTATGAAATAAGTTTCGAAGAAGTAAGACGACTAAATTCAATTTCGATTGATATCTCGGAATCTAACGAAAACTCTGATATTTTTTTTTGAAAAATTTCGCTAGCGAAATATTCAATAATTCATCATTTTCAGCTGCATAAACAATTGATAATTGAGGAACAAATCGAGGATTGGCATTGTATTATTATTAACTATTCATAATTCCCAGGTCCATTCAATTGTAAATAATAAATTCATTTTTAAAAACTCTATCATATTTTTGTGATAATTCGGTCCAAAGTCCATTGATATTAACTGAAAATACAGGTTTTTATGAAATTTGATACATGTGTTGTTAATTCATGAAAAAAAAGAGATTAGCAATCTTCGATAGATAAAGTTTATGTTCATTTTGCAATGGGTTGTAGTCGAAACACCGGCGAACGTCAAATGTAGATTAGTCTGGCCGAGGATTTATTTTATATAATCGTAACAGTTGGTTTTTACGTGTAGGAGGATTAATGTTGCTGATTAATTTTTCGTCAGTTTTAGGGAAGTTCCTCCCGCCCGCAGAAATGGACGAGTTTATTCGAGAATTGATGCAGCTCAAAACACCAAAAGTGGAATGGAATTTTCCTCTGTCGGATGTAATTACAGCATTTAATAATTTATTCAATTTTTACCATTGATTTTCCATTTTTATTATTCAAAACATCACATGCCAGAGAAAGAAAGATTCAGAAGAAACTTCTTCTTCCAATTGTTTAAATTCTGTCTTCGAATAATTAATAAAATGTGAAGATTTAGTTATTTTGATTTGGACACTTTATTCTATTCAAGTGAAAATCTCTGTTATTTTTTTCGGAGCAGTTTTTGATAATTTTGACTCTATCTGATAACGATAAATAATAAAAAAAATGATTTTACGTTAGGCTCTGAGTGCTTACAGCCAGATGATGAACACTGTGGAAGGATGCACCTTAAACTACAGTGAGACAGCCCTCGTCATTCAGAACTCAGCCCACGTCTTTGAGAAAAGAGTAGAAAATTTGTATCATGACACATGTGGATTGAGAAAAACGCTGGATGAGCACGAAGCGGAACATGAAGCAGCTAAAGCCGCGAAACCTCGTCAGCGTTCTCACCGGAAGAATCTGGACCTGGAGAATGTCGAGCGATTTGATTTCCTCAAGGACAGTACAAAAAACTGCTTTCTAAAATCGAGGAGACCCCAGAAAAAAATCAAACTCCTGAGCCAGAGGTACCCCCAACTAGAGAATCTGTGCCGGCACAAGTTCTCACTGGACGTGGTGGACACCCACGGTGAGAAAATTGGGAAAAAATACGATTTTCGCTGTAACCAGCAGTTGACATCATCCCTCATGCTGGTAGATGAGTTGAGTCCAGAAGATCTCCATAGATCTTCACGAATTTCAGTAGAGTCCTCACCTTTTCATCACGACTCCATCCCCAGTTGTTCAACACCATATCCCTCTTCCCCAGGCCTTTTAAATTCTTCTCTTCAGGAAAAATCACCCCCAAACATTCTTTCTTTCCCCCAAACTTCTCCCCCAAGAACCTCATCATCCCCCAGCCCATCCCAAGCCCACCTGGACCACCTGGACACATCAGATTTCGATACCAACGACTTCTGTGACTCCCAGGATGCAGAAGCCCTCGACCAGACGCAGGAATCAGGCTACTGCACCTTCTCAGACATCTCCACGTCTGAAAACCTCAGCACAATTCAACCAGGAGGCGAGAGCATGACTTTATCACATGAAACATCAACAAAAATTCATGAAAAAGATAAATCACCTTCAAACAATGACCCACCCTCATCCACAACTTCCCCAGATTCAGTGGGACTTGAAACTCCTCCAGAGAATTCGTCCCCAGTCCCTCTCACCCAAACCCCTGAACCTCCACAGGAAGAGATCTCTCTACTGAGCAAGAGAAATCGAGATTCAATGGAAACAGACGCTGGATACACCTCTGGAGGGCCAGAGGACCTTCCCAAATCTCCTGTACTCATAAGACGCAGTAAAAGACTTAAAAAATCTGCTATGGAAGAGCTGAACGACAAATCATATGAAGCTATTCCCTTTCAGGCTCCTATTCCTGAGAAATCCTCAAAGACCAGGAAGAGGTTTAAATTACCTTGCCACCCATCTCTTCTGCGATCTGACAGACCGAAGAAGAGGAAGGTTCTTCTACTTGGAAACGACGAGAAGATGAAGAAGCACCTCATGAGTGATGCTGAGGAGAGAAATAAATTGGTCATGTATTCACCCTCGAGATCTCTGTCCGATCATTACAGAGAGGAGCACGAGGAGTTCCAGAAGATGGTTCACCAGTGTTACACGCAATTCAATGTTTCGCATTTTGAGGCTGTTCTCGGAGAGAACGAGTGCCTCAGGGGCTTCGCTCTAATTGGTAAAGGAGGGATTTTAAATGGTGAGAAGTTTCTTCAGAAGGTAGGAGCTTCTGGACACGAAGTGAAGGACACAAATTTAAAATTGACAGTGGATGTGGTTGATCATCGGTTGCAAGAGCTTCAAGAGACATCTTGCTCGTACACTCCACCACATTCTCCTGCGTTCTCTGGAGGATTTGAACTGGAGGATGAACCCGTTGAGAATGAGGATTTTGTTGAGACTGAGGGTGCCACCCTGACTCATCAACAGAAGATCGAGAGGAGAATGCAGGAGCTGCAGAAGGAGTTTGATGTTCGGCATGACAGGGAGGAGGAAACTGTCAGGTGGTTTGATATGATGGAGACACTGAAAGCTGCTGAGAAGAGACCAGTCTTTGATGTCAGGGAATATGAGGAGAAAATTGTCAGGGGATTGACAGACGAACCTGACAACCGGCTGGGATTCGAGGAACTTGCCTGGAGGGAAAAGCCCGAGGATATTGCTAGACTGTTTGTGGCTTCTTTGCATTTGGTAAGATTTTTTTTTTTGCTGCAATTAATGATAAAATTTGAGAATTAGTCTAAGAATTCGTGGAAATATATGTAAACATATGTAAACTTGAAATTTTTTATATTTTTCCAGGCAAACACTTATACGGTAGATATCACTGCTAGTGCAGATCAATCTAATGTTCATTTAAACTTGTTGAAACGAGATGGATTTCACTCGAGTTAGAGGTGGCATCGTCACCTGCTTCATCACATTTTACAACTTTCTTTGTGCTGTTACGCTTTTCGTACTCTTCATAATCGCTAAAATACCGGTAATTCAGCCTCATCAGAGGCTCGTGATGGATAATTGACTAACAATTTATCGAAAGTTCAAAAAATAATCACTTGTCATGGTATCATCGCGTGATAAGTATTAAGAGACCACCGAAAGTGTTCCTTTGACACTATGAAAAGAATCATTTTAATGTTACATGTGTTTTTCTACTGGGAAATTTCATAATTTTAAAGTCAAACATTCATTTTTGAATAGATGTTGCCAGAGAGGATTTTTCTGAGTTCAATTCAATCGGCAATATTCAGATATAGTTGTTAGGTATTTGTACATATGTTAAATTGTGTTGTTAAATTGTACTTTCATAATTTATAAAATAATATGGAAATTGTAAAACCCATGCTAATGGTAATTCTGTTTCAGAGAATATTTTTGTACTGTCAAACAAAAAGAAAAATATCTAACGAGTTGTAATGAGTGGAGAATTAATGAGAAGAGATAACTCGTTTCAATTTGACTATTTTAAAATTCGGCATTTGTGTAACATTCCGCTGAATAAATCAATTTCTGTATTAGAGTTAAAATTATTTGAACACATTTCACATCATCTAAATAAAAAATGGATTTTCTTCAAATGAAGAATATTTCATTAAAATTTTCCCCTGGAACATGAACAAATATAAATAAATCATCGATTTTAATTCACCTGTGAATTAAATTACGACACAATTTTAGTCTTTCCATTCATATCATTTTCAAAGCAAATATTCTTCAAAAGACAATTTTATATTTTGGAATATTCAATCCTTAAGGGAATAACTTGGGGATGAGATTATACTGGTTTTTCTGGGTTTGAACTGTCTGTGGCTTCATTATCTTCACCCAGTGTGAGTGAAGAGAATGAAGAAGACATTCCCATATTTCAAATGGCACTCTTAGCTTGATTTCTCCAGATGGGTGGGGCAAGCTCGTCGAGACGACGATCCAGGAAACTCACGCAGTTGGAGATGTGGGAGACAGTCTCCTCGAATGCCTGCATTTGACAAGTCGTAAGATTGGGCATTGCCTGCTCCACAAGTTTCACTCGATTATCGAGATTGTAGAATGAAGAACGCAGAGCATCTATATAGTCCGGGAGAATTGTGCGTTGTTCCACTGGGCCTAGAATCAATTATAATAATCAATTACCAATTATTGACAGACTTGTCATCAGTTTCGATACTTTTTTGATACAAATACTTACAAAATTGATGTATCGCCACGACATCGATTATGAAAGGCCTGCAATTTCAGGGACAATTGTATTGACATTAAATTAGCAAATTATCACAACAGAATGCAATGGAGATAATTAATAGTTATTTTTTAAGACACTTTGAATTTCTAGGTTTTTTTTTTCTAGGTTTTTTCATATTCATTTTATTCCTTATTACGAAGTTCAAAAGCAGAACTCGGGAAAAGAACATACTTGTCTCTAGTTGCTCCACTCAACAAAGTTGAGAATGGAATGAGATTATTGTCGTGTCTCCGAATCTTCAGGAATTTAGACCCATCGTCCTCGACACCGATCCACCGAAAAATCGAGGACTTGAGTTCCTCAGAAACCATATTAGGGGTCAGGGTGAACAGCTGGAGTGTCGTCTGGAGATTTGTATGCTCCGATTCTAGAATCAGGAGTTGTCGAGTGCCACAAATTTTTATTATCAACAATAGCAATAAATTTTAGCTAATTGATGTCTCATTGACGAAATGTGTTTCTTTAGATCTAGAGGAATGATGCAAAAGGCTATGACTGACAATTATTGGAATAATGACAATGTTTCGAACAGGACATCTCATTTGTATCTCGACTTACCGAGTTTATCATAACGACGAATGAGTACCCACGTGTTTATCTCGCTCATTCCCATTTTATCCAAGTGAATAATCCTCTGTAAGAATAATAGTCGTTTGTTCGTGGAGATGAAAGGAGTGTTGGCAGTTTGACAATTGAATGGAGTGGAATAGATAACGTGAGTTGGAGCTGTAGCTTATTTTGACAGGTCGATAGATGAGAGTGTCAGATATGTGCTAGATGTGTGTCAGATGGCAATAAAAAATTAGATGATCTCAACCTACCGAATCTAAAAATCCCTAGCCCTCCAATAACACCCCATGTCAAAATCTGAAATCAAACATTCAAGAAAAACAATAAAAAATTGTCGCTCCATGTGACCAAAGCCAACTGGAAAATTGAGTAAAAAATTGCCTGAACAATTGAAGATATTTTTTTAATCAGTCCAATGATTATTCACTTAGATACTCGACTTTTGGAGGATAAACAAATGTCATGATTCAATAATTCAAATTACTCAGCGTCCTGATGCATTTCAAGATGTCGACCGGTCACGTGACAGTAAAAAACCAACGAAACGCTTAGAATTTGGGGTGGAGGTGGTGGTGGGAGTAAATAGTACGTTTGATAGTAAATAAAATAAACGAGGTTACGTTATTCATTGTGAGTCCATTGACGATGTAAACATGACGCACAAGTTTTAATTCTGGTGTAGGTAGGGCGGGAAGAATACTTGGTGGATTGTAAAAATCGTAAAACCGTGAGTATTTCGATTGAAAACTGCATGTGAGACTCAGGGACTCTTGTTATGCATTGAATGACTGAAATAGCAACATTAAAACACCATGGGAAACTGAGCTGACGAGTTCAAACTGAAGCTTGGGTCCAGTCTCGTCGCCGAAGGTTAGTTAAATTTACATTTATTCACTGGAAAATGCTATGTGCATTATTTAAACTTCAGAATTAATTCAATTACTCCATCAATTCAATTGGAGAAAAAATATTTAGATTTTATTACTGTTTCGATACTTTTGCTACTTTTGTCACAATTCGTGTTGTCAGGAATGCTTCTGAATTAAAATAGATTCAACAATTTTTTTAGTTTTGCTGAAACAGCGGAAATAGTCGGATACAGTGGAGTCTAATTTTAGGAAAAATTCGGATTTTGTTACATACGATTGGAAAATGGAAAATAAAAAAAAATTTTCTTTTAATTTAGCGAAAAAAGTGAGGGAGACTGATGTGTAATTAAAAGAATAAAAAATTAATTAGAGATACAAAAATTGTGGGAATGCTCTAATTTTCATTTTTATTGATCGGATATAAATTGTTGATAATAATGGAATCAACAAAAAAAATTGCAACAATATATAAAAGTTGATAAAAAGAGATGAATGCGTAATAAAATGATTGAGTATCTCAATAAAAAAACGATTGTTTAATGAAATTTGTTAAATATTCTATAGATGGAGTACGATTCGGCATCTAGCTGTGAGGACCGTCTACTGGACCTGGAGTCATCGAAACGTCACCGAAAGCGCCTTGGAAAACGATCCCTGCGGCTTTACCCCACCGACTCCTGCCCCCCGTCGAAAGACAGCCCCTCGAGTTCGAGCCAACAGCCTATTCCCCCACGTGCATCAGTAAAAATAATCGAGCGCTCCCTCTCTTCCCAAGTGATGGAATATTACCACAAGTACTCACAGTCCTCCAACCTGGACCGTTACTTCTCAATGCCAGGTTCAACCTTTAGCACCGAAGCCTACAAGAATTACCTGAAGTCAACAGATTCCCAAAAGCCTTGGGACCACCTTCATCAAAAAAACCCGATGAATTCTGACAATGCTTCATTGATACCAGACATACCACGGGAACGACGTCGCTGGGTGCGTCCTCCACTGATTGGTCAGCCCTCAGGAGCACCCGAGATCCTTCCCACCACTTACCACGATTCCCTGGAGTCGACAGGAGCGACACCAGAGCCTGAAGACAAGATAAATCCCCAGCAGGACTCAGAAATCATCACTGAGGACAGATCAAATCAGCGAAAGGAGAGTTCTTCCTTGGAAACAGCTGATCGTGAAGCCAAAGCAGCGTCTCCAACGTCTAGTGTCACTTCTCACAAGCCCCTGGAATGGGACAGTGGTGCAGACGTTGGATACAATGCCCTTACCAGGAACAAGGAGAAGGATCGAAATATGCTGTGTACCATTGAACGAATGGCCCTCGCCAGGGGATTGTGCTCAGCAGCTCTAAGATTAGACCCTGAAGGCACCACTGGCTCCACAGCAGATCCTGGGGGCACTCAGAATAATTCCCCCTCGAGATCCAACAGAAGGCAATCAAAACCAGACGCCCATTCCACTCGAATAATCAACGACGCCTCTGAATCCGAAGGAGAAATCGAGATAACTCCGATCGTCAAGACGAATCTCCCTGGGATCATCACTGGCAAAGTTACTGGCACTCAAGACATCACCCTGAAGTCCCTAGTTCCCAGGAAATTCTCGGAGGACAACGGAAAGGACAATGAGAAAGAGACACCAAAAATGGCGGATACACCGAAGACCTCTCAACCAGGAAAATACAAATCTGCAAACGAGAGATTTGCCAAAGCTCGTGATCTCAAGGATTTCCAGGATTCTTCCATGAAGAAGAGTGCTTCCATGAATGTTCTCGCAATGCCTCTGATGGCTGTATCCCTGAAACGAAGTCAGAGTGAATTGAATTTGAGGGAGAACGAGGAGACCAAGAGAACCGGTCAAGGTCCCTTAAATTTCGCCTCTACTTCATCGATAGTTACGATTGTCAATAAGCCCCTGACCTGTGACAAGGACATACAAACGACCTTCCAAGAGACGCTCAGAAAGGAATCAATTGGTATCCAAGTGTCCTCTATTGAGGATGAGGAGAAATCAGTAGATGCGTCAAAATGTCAGGACAACTCTCCAGAGAATTCCAATGATTCAAATAACTCGAACAATTCAAACATTTCGAAAAAATCCCAAAAATCAAAATATTCAAACACTTCAGAAACTTCGCATCCCTTGAACAGCAAGTCATCTCCCCAGGAAGATGATAAACCGCCCCTTCCGAAGAGAATTAGCAGTCTGTCCCAACGTCCCCAATCGATCCTGAAGAATTCGAGGAGTGATTCAACCCAGAGCAAAAAGGACTCTCGATCGGACAGAAATACTTCCTCAGAAACGCCATCCGAGACCGATGCAGGTCGTGCGTCCCACAGTTTCGAGTATTTCCCAGGTCACGTGTACCAGAATGTCCCAGGTGAGAGCACCTCCCACGTGTCATCAGTCGACACTCGACACTCTCACTCGACAATGCCAAACACATCCTCGAGCCTCGACGAGAAACTCTGGGGTGACTCGGACAGCCTCCTCCAGGATCTCGAACGAAGCCTCAACATCCTGAAGAGTCTCGTCGACGCCAACAAGTGCGATAAACACGTGAAAAAACGATTGATTCATCACGTCATAAAAAGACTAGTCTCCGCCAAATACACAGACGACAAGATCTCGCACGATCTTGAGGAGACAGTACCCTGGAATCCCGACAATGCACGAAATAAAGTCTACAGAACTGAGATTATCCAGGCTCTGGCTAAAAAGCAGAAGCCATCGAACAGTACAGAGGAGTCCTCTGAAGAGTGGAAGCCGAGGAAGTCGTCGTCCTTCTCGAATAAGCCTCAGGATAACTCCAGGGTCCTCAAGGAGATGATTCAGCTAGTGGCAAGCAGTGAGAATAGCGATCTGTTCGAGGGAAGGCATACGGACAGGACAGATGGCATGCAGGATGGGAGAAAAGCAAGAATGGGGCTGAGGAGTGAGGACAGACATCGACATCTCCAGCGAGAGGTACCCCTGGACACTGAGAAGAGCGAGAGCTCAGAGTGTTTCCTACCCCAGCAAATCCCTTACAAGAGCAACACTGATAACAAGAGTGGAGCTGGTAAGACAGCACAGTCCAGTGGAAATACAACGACTCAACGACGAAGAGGTGGTGATGACAAGATGGATTGGAGATTACCTACTACCATGTCTGAGAGAAGATTTGAGCTCGAGAGGTGCAACTACAGGGCTGGAGCTACCACGAGATTAATTGATTACGTCGAGATGGAGAAGAAGAATCAACTGGTGTGGATCAGCAATGAAATCGATCATCTCTCGAACCTAAAAAAATTGCTGGAGGAACCTAAGAGGTACAGCAGGAGTTGCAAGGGCTCGAGGAAGAGTGGTAATGAGGAGAAGATCGACTCCGATGAGTACTCAGAGAGAATCAATGACGAATGGTCCTCGCATGGGAATCTGGCTGATAGGATGGAGGTGGGGACCAGGAAGAAGAACAGTTGCACTCAGACTCTGGGCCAAGGGATTTCCAAGGAGGAAAAAGAGAGCGACATTGTCGATGGGATGGAGGGCTTGATGAGGGAGTCAGGGGGGGAGGTTGTCAGTGATTGTGGTGGTGGGATCACGGAGTCCTCGAGGGGTCCATCGCCCTCGTGGTCACCCAGGCGAAATTGTCTCGTTCATGGAAACAAGAGGGGTGTCTGCAAGTGTCAGAAACCAAATTCTTCGTCCTCGGATGCTGGGGGAATGGGGCTCATCAGGGGAACTGGGGGAAATGGGGATAGGAGGCCTCGGGAGAAGGTTGGACAGGGATCGAATAAGGTAGATACCAAGAAAGAGGCGAAGAACAGGTTGAATGACAAGTGCAGATCTGAGTTCAGCGTCACTGAGTATCAGGAGGAGTTCGTTTCCAGGGGAAAAAGCCACTGCAGGGGCTGCAGGTGTGGGGGGAATGTTTCTGGAGGTGAGAGAGCTCCGGGGAAAAATAATGGGGAGGTGAGGGACAGGACTCGTTCCAGGGAGAACAGAAAATCTGAGGAGTGCACCTGCGATGAGAATTCACGGCGGGATGAGGGCAGGGAGTTGAGGAGTTGTCGAACTTGTGGCACTGTCTACACATCTGTGGATAAGAAGTGTCAGTGCAATTTGAGTTATGTCAAACCAATTGCTTATGAGTTGAATTTTAAGGAGCCGAGGAGTCCACAGGGGAGGAGAGGCTCTTCCTCGAGGGGGGAGACAACCAATTCAGAGGGACACTCTTGTAAATCTGACAATTGCTATTGTCAACCTCCACAGCCTCAACTCAAGGTTCGTTATTATTTATTCGTACTGCATTCAGTAGAGAAGAGAAATAAAAGAAAAACGATTTGTTCTCCAGGATTATTTGACCAAAAATAAACCAGAGTTTGTTGATAACGTGGAGACCAGGAAGAGATACATGTCAGAATTGTCGCAGCTGAGGCAATTGAAGAAGGAGAAGAGAATGCAATTCCTCGCTGTAGCTTCACCAGGTAGTTTAATTGCATCACCAAAAAATGTCAAAGCAACTGGTAAGTGTAACTTTTAATGAATGAAATGCGAGATCAAGTGGTAACGTCTGATTTTCAGGTAAGACCCAGAAAAAAATCAGCGATGAGGAGATGAAGATGAGATTACGCCATCGGTACCTGAGGCTCAATGAGGTGAGGAATAAACGACGACAGAAGGAGAAGGATGAGGCTGCCAAGAGAAATCACCTCATGGCCAAAATATTCTGCAAAAAATTGCAGCAAAAAGTTCTTAGGGGAGACGTTGATCTGTCACAAAGTGTTAGTGTTATTTCGAATTTATAACAATGTGAAATTGTTTGAGGTGGAGATATTTAATGTGAAAACTATTATACAAATTAGATAAGTACCCACCGAAATAATGCTCGTTCAGCATCATAGGTTTATTGTGTGTTGGATTTTTATAATTCGTAAGTTCTGTATTCTCGAGTGACCTTCCAGTTTTAAGTAGATTAATAGATGCTAGAGCATAGACTGAAATATTTTTTACTACAATGGCATGTAATTTCTGATTGAAATACATTTTTTTGATAAACGAATTGTAACAGAATTTTAATATAATTATTATGCCAATGTTTGTGTCTTTTTATAAGTATTGACTTATCTATAGAATCAATTTAGAATGCAATCAGTAGATGGAATTGATCATAAATAAAGAAAGGACAGAAAAGGAAAGAAGAAATTGCTGATGTTGGAATATTTACAATCCACCAAACGAATTCTAGTGTTAATGCAATTTTTTTTAAGTGGCAGATGGACTGGGAGAGAATTTTCCTTCCGATTTTCCAGGAAAGCATTTCTTTGTGGAATCAAATGTTTCCTTGTGAGAGTTTTATCGCAGCTCACGTGACTTCATTTGAAATGATTGTGCAATGACACTCGTATCGCCCCTCCCATTAATTCCACAATTTGTAGAGTTAAAGAGAAAATTTGTTTTCATCTCAATTATCGGAGAGGATTTACTTGGAGAAATCGAGAGGTAGAGTTCTTGGAGAGGGGAAATAACGCGAAAAAATGTCGATGCGAGTGGAGAAATCTGATGAGTTCGGAGATCTCGACGAATTGTGGAAAAAAATTTTCAACAGTGAATTCACGGGAAGATATACGAGTGTAAAGGGGGTACGCCTTCCAGAAATTTTCAACAAATTTGCGGATGAAATCGAGAATTTTGAGGTACGCGATGATGACGTCTGGGTCTGCAGTTTTCCAAAAGGAGGTCAGTCCAAAAATTTCTCGGGATATCTCCATCTGGAGGTGGTATACACTCATCTGTGCAATACATATCGCAGTTATTGAGTTATTTATATTCAGTATTTCATCTCCAAGAGATAGTAAAAATTGGGGAAATTTAGTTTCTTTTCATAATGCATGCTATTCTCTGTGAGAGTGAACTTGGAAAAGATGGATTGCACAAATTCGTTACTTTAACGAAGGGGAAATATTTGTTTGACGTTTTGTATGTCAATTTCTTAAAATCAACTTGAACGCATCTTCTGCTCTCCACCATGACACTTTCCAGTTCATTCTTTTTTCACTAAAGAATATAAATTATTATAACAATTTATTTATAAATAAATAATTATTTTTTGAGTACAGGAACCACTTGGACCCAGGAGATGGTTTGGTGCCTGGGGAATGATGTGGACCTCGAGGGTGCGAAGGCAGATTTGTTCCAGCGATTTCCGTTTTTCGAGTATTTTATTATCTTCGTTATCTTCCATTTTTAAAATCTCAAAATACACATGCAATTACGAATGTTTGCAGAGTAACAGCTGTTGTGGATTACTCAGCATTCAGAAAGAAAAAACCAGATGACAGATCGAAGAAACACGCAATGACTAGCTTGGAATTCTGCAGAACTCGATCGTCTCCTAGATTCATCAAAACTCATTTGCCATTTCAGCTACTTCCTCGGGATCTTCGCGAGGGAAAAACCAGGGCGAAAATTATTTACGTCTGGAGGAATCCGAAGGACACATGCGTATCATTTTTCCATCACTCGAAACTGTTGGAGGGGTATCGAGGAGACTTTGAGCTATTTTGCAAATTATTTCTATTTGACAAACGTGGGTTTTCAATTTAGCTGGAGAAATTGCAATCGTGGAGCTTTAATTCTTTTATTCAATGAATTTCAGTGTATTGTTGTCCATATTGGGACCACATCCTGGGATTCTGGAATAATCGTAATGATAAAAAGCATGAGATGTTGCTGATTAAGTATGAAGAGATGAAATCAGTAAGGAATTCCATTATTTAATTAATTTGGATGAATAATAATGACTAATCAGTATTCGATTTTGGTATCCAACTTTCAGTTTTTGCAGATAGAATAATATAATTTGTTTATAAAACAGTGGATGATCAAAGGGTGGAGAAAATTTACATTTTAGTCATCAAATACCATGAAATTTTGATTTTTAATATTTTATTACTGAATATTAGAGAGGGAAATTCATATATAAGTGCAGCTTTGATGAGTTTTCAGGATTTAACATCAGTAGTTCGGAGAACATCAGAATTCCTCGGAAAACCTCCACTTCCTCCAGAGAAACTGGCAATTCTCATGGATCACTTGACCTTTTCGAAGATGAAGAACAATCCAGCTGTGAATAAAGAGGAATGGATAGCGTACATCAAACAATTCGATCTTTCCACGGAAGATGGGAAATTTATGCGAAAGGGTGAAGTGAATCAGTGGCAGACAGAAATGTCTCCTGAAATGTCTGAGAAGTTCGATGAATGGACTGCGGAGCACCTCAAGGCCTCCGACCTCACTCTCTAGATGAAATACTTTTTTCATTCTTATTACAAAACAAAGTAATTGTTCACAGCATTTACATACCTCAGAAATTAAAATAAAAACTGTTCTAGATTGTAAAAATTGATTCTTTAAATAAATGGGCATTCTCTCAACAGAATTTTTGGAGATAACATTGTTTTATACAAATAAACTGGTTTACTCATGAGTGTTAAATCATTATTTGCATGACCCAATTTGTATTGATTATGCAATGAATAATTATTATGCCAGACATGCATTGACATAATACGACCCATCGAATTCACTTTATAACGGAATTTGCAATTCGTGCAATCGTTTTGCTTTTCCAAAGATTCAGAACCCAGTAGTGAACGTGAAATATCTCCAAAATTAGAGAAGATTGAGAAATATTCGTAGGAACATTTTTTGTAGCACTCAATTAGCTCTGCAAAAAAGGTTTTAACAAAAATGTTGGTATCTCCATCAGGTTCGGAGATATTTTAGAAATACCCACGGTTTTGGTGCATTTATCTCTTTTTATGATTCTGCAGCGAATTGTTTAAATACAAATATCCATCCCATTGGAGGACAAGAAGATGGAAGAATTTGAAGACTTCCACGAGTTGTGGTCGAAACTTTTTAATATCGAGTATACGGGTCGATATATTACTGTGAAAGGGGTGCGTCTGCCAGAGAATTTTTCAAAATTCAGGGATGAAATAGAAAATTTTGAAATTCGAGACGACGACGTGTGGGTCTGCAGTTTTCCCAAAGCCGGTGAGTCCACCAGTTTGGGTAAAATAATCTCAAAATAAATTACAATTTGGAAATTACAAGGTACCACTTGGACGCAGGAGATGGTCTGGTGCCTGGGGAATGATCTAGATTTCGAAGGTGCGAAGGCAGACTTGTTCCAGAGATTTCCATTCTTCGAGTGAGTCATCCCCAGAAAATAAAATTCATCAAGTGATTTATTAATTAATCCCTCAGAATAGCAGCTGTTCTCGACTACTCGGCCTTCAGGAGAAAAAATCCTGATGACAAATCGAAAAAACACGCGATGACGAGTTTAGAATTTTGCAGAACTAGAGCATCCCCTAGGTTCATAAAGACACATTTACCCTTTCATCTTCTTCCTCGTGATCTTCGAGAGGGAAAAACCGGCGCCAAGATTGTATACGTCTGGAGAAACCCAAAGGACACTTGCATTTCATTTTTTCATCATTCTAAACTCCTGGGAGGTTTCCGAGGAGATTTCCAAATATTCTGCAGACTCTTCCTCGCCGACAAATGTATGTATAAAATAAATACCTGCATAAATACATGGACACTAAATATTCAATAACAATTGGATTTATTTTTATGAATTATAAAATAATCAAGTCATCATTCTGTTGTTTTAATAATTATTTAAGCTTTTATTTTATAAAATTTGCGAAAATGTAAAAGAATGATAAAAAATTGTTCAAAAAATAATCCACAAAATTGGAATAACAGTTAAGGCCCGGATGGACTGTCCGGAAAAGATAATTTACTCCAAAATTGGGACGTCAATTAATCGTTTTTTCCGATAATTGTTAGCTAGAGGCCTAGTTGTTGACAACCGCTAGAACGCCAGCTAACAATTATTGAAAAAAACGATTAATTGTCAAAGTAATTAGGAATCCGAATTTCGGAGTAAATGATCTTTTCTAGATAATCCACCGGAGCCTTAAATTATTCAATCGATTTTTCTTTTTAATTAATATTGATTGCAGTACTCTGCTGTCCATATTGGAGTCACATCCTGGGATTTTGGAATAATCGAGATAATCTGCGTGCCAAGATGTTATGGCTAAAATACGAGGACATGAAATCAGTAAGAATCTTGACATTTTCATATTTCAAAAAATGATTACAGTCTAAATTAAATTGTTTATTAAATTGTTGTGCCGCAGGACTTGTCATCGATTATTCATAAAACTTCAGAATTCCTGGGAAAATCTTCACTTTCACCGGAGAATCTTCAAGTTCTCGAGGATCACCTGAGCTTCACAAAGATGAAGAACAATCCTGCAGTGAATAAAGAAGAGTGGATTGAATATATTAAACAATTCAATCTCACCACGAAACCAGGGAAATTCATGCGAAGTGGTGAAGTAAATCAGTGGATGACGGGAATGTCTCCCGAGATGTCCCAGAAATTTGATGACTGGACATCAAATCATCTCAAGTCATCAGATCTCACCCTCTGAAAGGAAGACTAGATAGAAGAAGTGTCTGAGAATAATTTCAATGGCACGATTTTTCAACAGGAAATATTTTTCAGACGAACTATTCCGGTCAGTGAATTAGAAAAAATATTTTTAATTGAAAATTTAATGCACAAGTGATTCTAGGTCATAGGGAAGTCTTTTGGATTAATTTGTATTGATTTAATTAATACAATTGGATGAAACAATGGATTTGGATGGAAAAATTATGGAGGCAATTCAAGACAGAAGGAGAAAGGCATGATTTGCTGAAGGCGATGACCTTCCGTCATTTCTGAAGTTATTCGCTACAAATTCTCGCTGAAAATCCATAAAACACAGATGTAACCCTGAGAATTTAGCACGATTTTATTACAACCTGAGTGAAAGGAGAATTCGTTATTGTTTAGAGAAATAAATTGGTGTTTCTTGAATGTGGAAATTATACTTTTTCAGAGATGTTTAACAGTCCTGCCATTTGACGTCGAGATGTGATCATTTAATCCACGATTGCTTCTTTAAAAAAATGTAATGACCACAACTGATGAAAATAAAATGACTAAAATCATTTTCTCAGAATGGAAAATTTTGTGCAGTCAATTCCCATTTGATAATTATTAGTTATTGTATATAAAACGATTGTGGATGAGAACCGTAAGATTTATATTTGCCAAATAAATATAAATTCCAATTTTTGCACATTCTCTTTAGAAACTTAAATTCTAAATTGAGTGGGTGAAAGTGGGAGGTAAATTAGGGATTAGGAGGGAGCGGTTGAAATATTAGTGTGCAACTGCTGCAAGCTCATTGCAATTTATTTTTCTGCGCTGGAAACTTCATTGATCATCGGTAGATTGTCTTTCTGGAATTAGTCGATAGAGAAATGTCGCATATAAAAAAGAATTCCGAAGATCTGAACCAGCTTTTGCAGGAAACCTTTACTAATGAATTTCGAACTGGATATGAGACTGTGGAAGGTGTGACAATGTTCAGTATTTTTAATAAAATCATAGATTCCATCGAAAATCTCGAGATTCGAGATGACGACGTGTGGGTTTGCAGTTTTCCAAAATCGGGTGAGTCATCAGTCATTTTTCGCTGATCTCATTTAAGACTCGGGTGGATTATCTAGAAAAGATAATTTACTCCGAAATTCGGATTCCTAATTACTTTGGCAATTAATCGTTTTTTTCAATAATTGTTAGCTAGCGTTCTAGCGGTTGTCAACCACTAGGCCGCTAGCTAACAATCATCGGAAAAAACAATTAATTGACGGAATAGTTAGAAGTCCCAATTTTGGAGTAAATTATATTTTCCGGACAGTCCATCCAGGCCTTAAAAACATTTCAATACATCAATTCTCTCATTTTTTTCTCAAAATTCTCATCTTTTATTTGACGCAGTCATTGAATAATCGATAAATAAATCAAATGAATCATCGATTTAGTAATTATTTGATTATTTAATATTTGTACTGACAATCTGATGAGAAACATAAAGTAGAAATAAAATGGAAAAATGTATTTCTCTGTCAGATAGTAACAGTAATTTGGAATAATTAAGCAGAAATGATAATTAATGGAAGTCATTAATTTTTTTTATGAATTCGATAATTGAGGAACCACTTGGACCCAGGAAATGGTCTGGTGCATCAGTCACGATCTCGATTTCACTGGAGCAGAAACGGATTTGGAAACTCGTTTCCCATTTCTTGAGTAATTTCCAAAAAAGTTATGATTATCATGAAAAAATAATTGAAACAATCAATTATTTCTTTCCCATTTGTGTAAATTATTTCGTGAGATCATGTGTGGAATATCTGATGAAATTTTTGTGAATTTTTGTAGATCATCAGCGATTATTGACCACTCGGTGGTTATAAAAAATTTTCCGGAGCTAGAAAACCACGAGTTCTTGAGGGACAGTGTTAAATATGTGGAACATCTTCCCCATAAGAGATTCATCAAAACGCATCTTCCGTTTCATCTTCTGCCTCGGGACCTGCGTGAGGGGCGGACTCGGGCGAAAATAATTTATGTTTGCAGAAATCCTAAAGACGTCTGCATCTCCTTTTATCATCATGCCAAACATTTCGCATATCGAGGCGACTTCCAACAATTCTGCAGACTTTTTCTAGGAGACAAGGGTACATAATGCAAAACAAATATTAAACAAATTAATTAAACAATTGTTTAAACTATTTACTAGTAATTATTTCGTCAGAATTCAATTTTTCGATCAACTGAGGATTGATCCCCAATTTATTTGCATAGATTGGGATGAATGAGAGAGTAAAAATAAATACAAATGTTTAACAATCAAGGCTGGTAAAGAAAAATAAAAATAGAGATAGTATGGATTTTTTTTTAGTTCCTTACAGTCCATTCTGGAGTCACGTGTCTGGTTTTTGGGAGAAACGGAATGACTCGTCCTGCAATATCTTATTTTTAAAGTATGAAGAAATGAAAGTGGTAAGTAGTCCCCTAGATATTTGAAGATAATCGATAATCCTAGATTTATTTGAATTACGAATTGTGAAATAATTGTTATGATTTTGTCAATGAAAATCAGGATTTGGGATCGGTGATCGAGAGAACAGTGGAATTCTTGGAGAAGCCGAAATTGTCAACAGAAAAATTGCAGCGGCTGTTGAATCACTTGAGCTTTGGAAATATGAAACTCAATCCCGCGGTGAATCACAAGAAGAGATTTGGCTTTACGAGACAGTATTTAGGTGCCTCGGGGGAAGCAGAATTCATAAGACAAGGGCAAATCAACCAGTGGAAAGCTGTCATGTCACGAGAAATTTCGGAGGAATTCGATGAGTGGATCTCCCGCAATTCCCAATCCTCTGATTTATCTTTCTATTTTCTTGACAGTCTAGATAATAAACAATCGTAACACATAGTTTAACACGTATTTTCTATAACAATTTGTTTATGCTGATTTGTATAAATTCTTTCGTGTCAAAAAAATCTGCAGCAATTTTTTCGGCGTGCAATTATACTTGTTTATAAACTTGATAAAAATATCGAAAGTGCGAATGGAAATTCTAGAAATTTTGTAGCTTTAATTGATTTTCTACTGAATTAATGTAATAGTCGATAATTAGGATAAATTTGGGATTTAAATGAGAATATATGAATATCATATCGTGAATTATCGAGGCGATTATCTGTCGTTATCAATGATGTTGATAAAAAAATTTCTGGTCATATGGCATTTTTAAAATCAGTTTCAGTCAGTAATGTATCATTTTATTATTGTTCCTGGGTAAATCCGTCAATTGGAACGCAACAATTTTTATCAGTACGTTTGACGCAATGGAGAAGGTTAAAATTAACGATCACTTTGAGAAAACTGACGAACAATGGGAACAACTCTTCAGGAGTTACTTCCGGAGTAAATTTATTACAGTTAAAGGTGTACGTCTGCCAGAGGTATTCACTAAATTTTCAGATGATATCGAAAATTTCAAAGTTCGAGACGATGACGTCTGGGTTTGTACTTTTCCAAAAGCTGGTGAGAACGAAATATTATATTGTTATTATTACCACTAGTCATTTCTCGTGTTGAATATTAAATAATTTTATTTTTGCTCAATATTTTCGTATGAAAAAGCAAGAAATGGTTTTAGAAAATATCCGTCTAGAATTTTTCATAGGATGTATTGAATTTTATTTTTAAAGAATAAATTTCGTATGAGAATAAAAATCCGAGAGATTGTGTTTATTTAAAAAATATTCAACAAAAATTATTTGAGGTACAACCTGGACACAAGAGATGGTGTGGTGTCTAGCTCACAATGCAGATCTTGAAGGTGCAAAAATCGATTTGTCAGATCGATTTCCATTTTTCGAGTGAGTTACTTTCAATATTCAACTAAAATATCTTCTGAGATGAACCATTTTTCTCCGAAACTCCATTCAATTGCATTGAATATTCAAAAAAATCGTCTGTTTATACAAATAAATCGGCAAACGCATTTTGAATAAACGAAATGTATTTTTGGGTGAAAAGATAACGAGAAATCAGTAGAAAAATCGGTTATCGTTATCGTAATATTCTTATCTATAATCTCGTTTCAGGCTGTCCGCTATTTCAGATTTGTCTGTCATACCAAGGGAATTGGCAGAATCGGATCCCGAAATAATGATGAGCATAAAATTATGCGATGATCTTCCCTCCCCCCGGCTTATCAAAACTCATTTGCCCTTTAAACTTCTTCCCCGCGATCTTCGAGAGGGAAAAACTGGTGCTAAAATCATTTACGTTCGGAGAAATGTCAAGGATAATTGCATTTCTTATTATCATCACGTCAGAATCATGGAGGGATATCGAGGGAATTTCCACGAATTTTGCCAATTATTTTTAGCTGATAAATGTGCGTACAACAATTAATTTTTAGAAAGAATCTTACGTCAAGAGAATTGAACTTGATTTTTTTACTTTAAATTTTGTTAAACGTTCTTAAGAGATAATTTTCATTCTACTTATTTTATTTTATTTATTAAATTTTCAGTCATTAATGATTAATTGTTAATTGATTGGATTTTTTAGTGTTGTACTGTCCATTTTGGGATCACATTCTGGAGTTCTGGAATCGAAGAAAAGATCCTGCACTTAACATTCTGATTTTATCATTCGAAGAGATGAAATCGGTAAGAGAAAATTCGCAATGCCATTTAATTTTATAATTTTTATTTTATTGATTGATTGATTTTATAATTATTTCTCGTAGGATTTGGCGTCTGTCATCCAGAAAACCTC